TTTTTCCCAATACAGGGTGTACCAAAAACTGAGGGTCGCTAGTTCGAATCTCGGAATTTTCAAATGTAAACATATGTCATGTTATACATCATTTTAAAGGCATTTGATAGACAAACATTTTAGCGAAAACAGAAATAAGTTATCTTTTCCCGTTTCAAAATGGCGGCAGTTTTTTTTTTGGAAAAAACTATATTTTTTTAATACTCTGTGTTTTCTATACCAATACATTTATCCTTTCTCCGGTTGAATTTTCTTACTCGTTATGAAATTAGCTTTACTTTGATATGCTACAAGTAACGGTTTTTTTAAATTATAAAAATTCCAAAAAAATTTATTTTTGAAAATTTGCAAAATGCTCATTTTTCAAAAATTTCAAACAGCAACATATGTCAAGTGGCACATGATTTTATAGGTTTTTTTTTTTATTCCTAACAACTTTGTGATTTACACCTACTTCGTATCTCTTTTAGTTTTTGCGTAAATAACAAAAAACCTAATTTTCCTATATAAAATGCATGTAATTTGGGTTTGACGTGGTTTAACACTTCATCAAATTGGGCCTTTAGTGTTAAACCCAAATAACATGCATTTGATATAGGAAAATTAGGTTTTTTGTTATTTACGCAAAAACTAAAAGAGATACGAAGTAAGTGTACTCCTACAGCAAGGCTTCCAAATAAACATTATTTTTTCGGGGGTTATTGAGATTAGGAGGAATCAGAGGGAATGGTTAGAAACATGGTCAGGATTACTATAACCAATTAATTAGTTTACAAACAAGCAACGCAGAGTGCGTGGAAACTTAACTCATCAAACTTATGAAGCCCAAGGGTGAAGACCAGTTCACGAGAAAAAAACGCGACTTTCAAACCACAGCAATGGTTTGCACAACTGTTATATCATGTTAATACAGTAGGCCTATCGCTATTTACTTCTAACTGTTTTAAAAACTGATTTAAAACTACAGCGGTGTATTCATAGAATCGTTTAACGATTTTAGGGCCGGTTTCACACGAGCCACAAACGTGCCACAATCGTCGGCAGAAACGCGCCACTGGCAGCGCTCAATCGCGTGGGACCTTTCAGACGGCAAAAGCATGATTCCGCAATTTCCATCAGTTTATCGCCATTTCATACCGCACCTCCCTGAAATAAACCAAAACACCAGTCCGCTTGGAAAAACTACGAGTGCAGTTCAGTGCTACAATGGACGATGAAGAAGATTTATGTTTTATAATGCTTCTTCGTGCGGTACGACGTCATAGAGTTATTATTTGAGTAATCTTTACATTCTTGTACCCACAACACTGGCCTACACCCTACTTTTACGATAAAACAGTCTGTGTCAAAGTCAGATATAACTTAATGTGATATAAAAATTCGAAACAATACAGGGTGACTGGTTGTTTTGACTGTCTGAGTGGCAATAACCAGCTACAAACGCCAAAATTGTCGAGAACAGAGCCACTGCATGCGATTGCAGCGCGTTCTAGCGCCAAACGCGAAAAGACGCCACTTCGTGTGAAAGGCACGCCGCGTTCCTATGTTAAGTGAATGGGGCTATCCTTTTTTGCGTCAGCCAGCGATTCTCGCGCCACAAGCGCGCCACAACTGTCAGAAGCAGCGTTTCGCGATTGTCGGGCGTTTCGTGGCTCGTGTGAAACCGGCCTAAGGCGTGCGCCAAACTCATATGAAGTGTTCTTTCTCAATGGGAACTTTACCTTTTCAACGCAAAGAAAACGACCTTTGATCATGTAGCGTCGGAGACCTTCAGCAGGTCGATTAGCTGCATGTAAAGAAAATTTCCTTTTACAATTATCGGTTATTCCTAGTCAGTTTGCGAATGTATACACAACTTTACATGGATCAAATAAAAAATACGAATCTGAATAGTGTGTTTGACCTCTGGGGACATGGAAATGAAAAAGTAAATCGTGCCCGGGTGTAGGTCCTTCGACGAGACCTACGGTATAGCTTATTCCATACATCTTAAATTTGCTCAGTAGTAGAAAAGTTAAAAGAACATTAGATGCGAATCACACATATTTGACAATGTATCAGTGCCATCCATGTGCTGTGTTTTTCGTGTACCTTCGTTAGTGCATGTGTGTCTTTTCATACTGTACATTCCAATCATGTTCGTAAATTACAATTTACCTGCCTCGAAAAATAATTAACTTAATGTCTTGTTGACATACTTGGTACAGTATCTGGTGTACAGTAGTTGGTGTAGGTAAAACATCAAAACGTTAAAAATCCTAAGACCTTTTTAGCAAATCGTTAAAAAATTCTGACTACACAAACATAGTAAAAGTTTGTGAATTTCTGATAACATGGAACACTAAAAGACAAGAAATGGTCTCTAAAATATCTCTGAGTTTGGTTTAAAAAGTTAAGATTATGTTGTGGCTATATCATATCAACTTATGTTGTAACTCAAAATGTAAGTTTATTTTTAACTCGTTCTACCCCAAAACAATTGTTACACTGTGTTTTTACGCGAATGTTGTCCAAAAAGGTGTAAGCTTTATTTCAATATGTAAGTTAATATGTAAAAATAACATGTACGGTAGCAAAAACAATGTATAACTTGATACTGTAGAAGTCACCACAGACGAGCGCTGGCTAGACGGTGGTTCGGCTCAACCATCATACTCTCATTGCATTAGTAAAGTTGTAGCCTATCAACACCCATTGCTAGTTTTATGTATATATATATCAGTGTTGTATCCTATATGGAACGTGCACCCTTGTTGATTTTATACCCTGGTTGTGATGATCCGTAGTGCGTTTTTGCACATTAAATATGTTTAACAGAGTCAACTTTGATAGAGTGATCAGTTGATACACAATAATTAGAAGACTTATACAAAGATTAAAATTGCAGAATGATGTTTGTATGCCAAAAATAACAAGGTTGTAAATCATATTTAGGATGAAGCGACATAAAAACTTGCAGCTATTAATTCGGCATGAAACCCCAAAATATTATATGTGATATGTGTGTGTGATATCTATGTGATATAGACAGGTAACTAACGTGATTGCATAAGTGGTTTATAGAACTTCAATAAATAACCTATTCAGAAATATTTATTAACACAAAATTTTAATGCAACCATTTCCGGTAGTAAATTAGGTAATTTACTATGATAATATACCCTATCACTAAAGACAGCTGATCACTAGGTAATTTTAAACAGAGATAGACTGAAGGCACTTGTATGGGTATGTTTCTGTCCAGTAGAAGAATAGATGATAAAGAGGGGGACGGTGTTTATTTTTATTACTATTATGTTATTTTACCATCTTTTAAACTAGTTTAACCATACAAACCTATTTATGGCTGTTTATTACTCTGGTATTGTAACCAAAAATAAAGCGCACGTAGCAAAATTTACCCCAGAATAAGATGAAAAACTCTCAATTGACATAAAATACACACAAAGCAGGCTTCATATTTACAAAAGACTTCTTAAAGTATCTTAAGTCAGTGATTTTAAGTTCGCCAAACACCAAAATCAAATTTGACGTGCGAGCATCGGTTGAACCATTGCATTGAATTCAATTTAGCGAACAATCCCATCAAAATAATAGGTGTATTTTGACCTGTTCAAAACATATTTGGTTTATCAGGTTTACAAATGCTATACAGTTCACGAAAATCAAGAGTTCAAATTAACAATTAATTGCCTGTAACAAACTTGATTCAGTTCAGACTACACTTCGAATCAGCGTGGATGCAGAAAAGTACTTTTTGGAAGCTTAAAAAACGTTTAAGTATTGAAGGTCAAAGAAGATGCTACAAAATTTTACTTATATTAAAGCCAAATTAAGATTTACGTTTATATCCAATAAACTATGCGTGTCGCATATTGATTCCGTAAAATGAGTGCGCGTCCAAAAGATAAAATATGGGTGATCAATATTTTGTGTTGTACCGTACCTTATTTTTAAGATTGTTTTAATTAAAAATATATGAAATAGATCACTGAAGAAATTGTTATTATTTACGTATCGTAAGTGCATGCCAAATCTATTTAGCAATAAAGATATAAAATATTTACTTCAGCAATATTATAGCGTGAGCTAAAGCCCTTTCAATCCAAACGTTAAATTGTTATTGTAAATACATCACTTAAAACCCATACTCTCAGCATTTTACAGGTCATAATGTGATGTTAAACTGTATGTTAAACCTATACTACGCATAGGGACTACAGGTTACAAAACATTAAAAAAAAAATAGACAGGCTTGTAACAAGGTTTGTGAAGGTAGAAAGCACTTACAAGCACAGCCCTAAACATATTTCATAAACGCATAAAATGTTTCATAATCTTAAAAGGTCAAGGGAGATATAAAATCTATATAAAACTGTAGTAAATTTGTAGTGTTCAAAAGCATTAAGTGGAAAATGCAGTTGTTATTTGTTGTAGTGAATACTTAAGTAAATGTCGTACTGCGGACAAAATATTTTGTTATCTAAATTTGTATATAATTTTACTTTCATTTGTTTTCGAAAATGATTTGGTAAATCAATCAGTTGAAACACACGCCGGTTTATTGATAAGTCGATACACTGTATAATTAATTCAAGTAAAAAGTTATGAATAAAAAACTGTAGAATAAATTGCTGTAATTAGTTATACTTATAGTTTTTGTAAACATCAAGAACGCATAAAATAGCAACCTGCTAAGCGCAAATATACACACCAAAACCGGTCCGAGCACAGATTAAATTTCTAAACATATCACAAAAGATTAAGCGAAAACACAACAATAGTTTAAAAGTTAAAACTAACGGTGACATTTCAGTGCCCGGACTGCACCAATTGTTAAGGGCAAAGACCTCTCTGACTCCCGCGTACCGGCGCCCTTTGAAAGTTAATTTGAAATATGACCTTATAAAGAGAGAAAATTAACAAATAAAACCAAGAAGTTGACAAGGACAAATGAGGAAAATTCCCGCGTTGTTATTGCGACTAGTTTCATTTCCTACCTGTGACAAGTCGACGTCTTCTCTCATCCTCTGCTCCAAAGTTCTGTCGTTGACATAGTTCCGGGCGTCCACCGACATACCGGAGTTGAGGAAGAGGAGACACACTAGGACACCCACTGGCGCTGACATTGTCACTCACAACAAACACTACCTCACTACAACTGAGCGACTGAGTCGCTGTTGGACGTATGATAGTCCTCTAGCCGTTATGCGCTCGGTAGATAGGGACACACTGAGCGTGAGCGACTGACGGTCGACGGACTGAACGAATAAATCGTCCGTCGTCCTCGTCCGTCGTACTCCCCCCGCCCCCCACCCACACGGGCGACACTAGCGCTGTAGCAGTGCAGTGGCCACCGACAGAACTCTGGTTGACGTCACACTATTCGATCCGACCATCGCACCAGGTTTGGTTTGAATTATATTAGCCGGAGACGTTTTAATTAATAATTGTATTTAGTCGATAAATATGAATCACAATGCTAGTCCTACGTTGGTCGGACAATCCAACACTTGCAATTTGGTTTGCTTGTAATTTAAACGTTAAAATTGACCTAAATGCCAATCGACCCCTTCATTGAATCTACATTCAAGATTCTTGCTATAATAAAAGTTTCAAAATTAGCAACAAATATGCCTTTACCTTAATATGCCTTTACGTGTTAATCCATTAAACTTTTAGGTAACTGAAACTTTGTTTAACTTACTGATGGGGCAGGGTCGGAATTTAAATACAGCTGAATAAGGAACTGCTGAATATCCAACAATGCTGATACAAAAGAGGTTTTGTACGAAGAGCAGAAAATATTTCGTTTTGACATAGACAACTTTTTCTAACTAGATATCCAAATAATCCTGTATTACCAAATTCAAAGTGACCCCCTTTGTCTATGGAAAATACGATACCATTTGTTGAAACAATTTGACCTTAAACTCTTTGATTTATTTCCCATAAAATTCAACTATTTTAAGGTTTCTCGATTTTATTTTTAAAAATCCATCAAACACAACCTATTTTAGGTTGACTGAGCCCCATCCTACCCATCCAACTATTTATCTACAAAGATCCACCATAAATATCCATACATATACATACAATCCTTTTCACCTTTATATTTCCTCAGTGAGTACAATTTAATGTATTGCATTGGATTTTATCAGTCTCTGTGGTAATATACAGCCAGCTTTGCCAAAAGAAAACAGAAACCAAATAACCCATGTGACAGCTAATCTGCACAGATTATAAAACTTTCCATTCTTTCTTGTGTTTATTGTTCATTATTGATTGGTGCCCAAACTTCAATCAACGCCTAGAATGAATGACCAAGTGACCTACTGAAAAAGAGCCTTCTGCAGGTCAGCAAAACAACACTCAGACATATGACACTCACAACATGGTCAAACACTTCTCATTCTCAGCGTCAGTGCCCTTTGGATACGGCTTTCATTGAAATGGAAATTAATGTGTTTGCCAATTACTTATAAAGGATCTAGGCTGTAACTATTACAACACAGTTACATAACCAAGAGATGTTTACTGATACATACTGTGTAATAATGTTTGTGAGTAGGATTGTTTCATATTACCGATGTAATTATGTACCAACAAATAAAAGTATCTCAAGGAGTATTCCATTTATAAATGTTACAAATTTCATTGTTGAGGATGTTTTGATGAAATTTAGATTTACTAGTTCAATTTATAAAAAAAACATTACGGTATTTTGTAATTATAAATAAAACAAATTATCAAATGATGAGGTGTGCAAATGTTGTCAAACCTTGTTCCTAAAACAATTTTGATACAAACATAATTAATATTTTTAGTATAGAATCAAACTGTAAATTATAGGTTTATGATTCTCTATGATTACTGGCATAGGCAAAGTTATTGCTCCAATATGGGTTTCAGAACTAATAATCTTTATGTTCTTTATCTTTATCTTTATCCCCTTTTTGACTTTAATGAACAATTAAAGTTTATGTGTAGCAACTTTAATGTCTCGTTTGTGGAGGCAAACTGTTGGGTTGGGAGGACTTGCTTGAGACGGGAGGCACCTCAACATGGGAGGAAATGCTCAGCTAGAAAGGTTATTCAGCGACATTATCAGTTGGGTTTTAAATGACAAAGTATCCACTATCTCACCAGAACAAGGCAAACGAGATGTCATAAACTTGTCAAAAAAGATATTTCACCCAGAGAGTTTGGGAAATTGAACGACGGGTCAGTAAGAGACGTTTCCTGAAGTTTGCTCATAATAATATGCGCTCATTGGGAACTGGTTTTGACGAGATGTGCTCTCTTGTCAAAGACTTTGACTTCAATCTTATAGGTATTTTAGAAACATGGCTATGCCCTCACACTCCCTCAAATACTTACAACATTCCTGGTTATACTTTCCTGAGATCTGACAGAAAAAGTAATAACTACGCTAAAAGAAAAACTGGCGGGGGGGTTGCTATTTATATAAAAGAGAATATAAAAAATGTGGTCAATAGTTTGAATAACATTGATTAGCAACTAGAGCATATCTCTATCACAGTTCATACCAAAACAAAAAAAAACTTGGAATTTGCTTTATGTATAGACCTCCCGATGCAAACTACACCACTGTAGAAACATTGTTAAATGCTGCATTTATTGACCTTGCATTTGGGGTCGATATCGATAATGACATCGTGTTAGAAGATACAAACATCGACCTACACACGATCACATAGTGATGCAAAATACATGAAACGTCTCTTGCAGTTGCAAAGCACAAATACAGTCCAACTGATAAACGAGCCTACCAGGGTAACTGCCGAGTTATCCACTCTCATAGACCACATCATCGTCGAAAACACCACAAAATTGAGTAAGTATGTTTGAGTAATTGATACCTCAAACATAAGAGACCACAGGAAAGTTAAAATAACTAACCACAAAATGATTCATGGATGTATTGAGTTTGAATTTGATGAAAAGAATGCAAATAAAATGGTATCATACAATTTGGTGGAAATTTGATATTTCAAGTGCAGTGAGAGAAATGGCGGCAGTGGACTGGGGATGTGCTAATCAAATTTTTAATGTAAATGCAATTGAAAAATTCATTACCTCAAATATAAATGCCATTTTTGATAAACACGCTCCTATAGTGCGCAGGCGTGTTACAAAGTAAAAAGCGGCATGGAGAACTACTGACATTAACAAATTATCAAAATATATAAATAAGTTAAGACGTAAATATCGGCAAACTAAAAATGGCAGAGATTGGGAACAGTACAAAACTATTAGGAATGAGTTGAATATTTTAGTACACAAAGCAAAAAGGTCTTACTACCTTAAAACCCTGAGTAATTCAAAGAAACCTAGTGAATTCAGGTCAGTCATGAGAAGTTGCAGTGTAGGTGATGATAGTAGACCAAACGATTATTTATTTGCGGGCATTAATGAAATTAACAAGCATTTCGTTGACATGGGATCTAACTTAAGCGCGGATCAAAACCTTATTAATTATTACATGAACTATAAAATACATGGCATCAAAGCATTTCAATTTGCTTACGTAACAGAACTAGAGGTCCAAAAAGCAATAAATGAAATAAGCTCAAAAGCAAAGCGAAATGATGGTATAAATATTTTCATGAACATCAATGAGTTCGTACTGTCTTTCAGCAATTACTCATTTGATCAACCAGTCACTAGCTACAGGATATTTGCCAGATTCCTGGAAAGAAAGTATTGTGAGCCCACTGCCTAAAACTAAACATCTGAATGTTAAAGATCTAAGACCTATATCAGTACTGCCAACATTATCAAAGGTTTTAAAGAAAATTGTAGTTAAACAGATTTCAGTATTTATCGAAAAAGAAATCATTTTACCAAAACAACAATCAGGTTTCAGGAAACACTAAGTTGCACTTTGCTTCTAAATTTGTATAGTGATCTCTTTGAAACAAAAAGATAATAGTAAATGTAGCTCTATAATCATGTTAGATTATTCTCAAGCGTTTGATTCATTATCTCATACATTGTTGTTAGCCAAACTACAATATTTCAGAGTTAATGACACAGCATTAAAATGGGTTGAATCTTACCTCAAAAACAGAACTCAGGTAACAAAAATCATCGGTAAAGTATCATCTCCCCTGTCAAAAGAAAGAGGAATTCCCCAAGGAACATGCTTAGGTCCAATCTTCTACAATATATACACTGCTCACATCACGAAAATTGTAAAAACGTGCAATTTACATTTATATGCTGATGATTGCCAGATACTGTCCTATGGTAAAACATGTTACGATAAAGCCTTTGATGTCATTAATAATGAGCTGAATGCTATATCTGTCTGGTCAAATTGCACTACAAGACATTTTAAACGAAATTAGGCAAGACATGGTCAGTAATATTAAAATAAATTGGACAGCCATCAATATATGCGAGAAACTAAAAACGCTAGGAGTAATTCTTGACGAAGACCTGACGCTAACTGATCATGTAAACCTCATGTGTCAGCGAGCCCTTGGCCGGCTGCGAGGTCTATATAGATTGAAAGGGATTTTACCTGACGCCAAAATAAAACTATAGTAAGGGCCTTGGTATTGTCAGTTTTTGATTATTGTCTCCAGCATATGGAAATATAGCATTAAAAAAGGCGAACCAAATAAAATCCAACGACTACAAAATGCATCACTTAGATTTATTTATAATTGCACGAAAAGAGATCACATAACTCCTTACAGAAACGCTGCAAACATTATGCAAATTAAAGGTAATTATATACACCTGACCTAACCTGCAGCCTGATACGTAAAGCTATAGAGTTAGGCATGAGGTGGGGAGGCGCGCCTTCTCATACTTTGGCCTTACCATGTATAATGCTCTCCCCGATCAAGTAATAAGGGCCAACTCTTTGAACACATTTAAAAAAAGGTTAAAGGAATATTTGTTTGGTAAAAGTAGTTGTATCTAAAGTAAATGTATGTTTTTATTGTTAATTGCTCTAGTCCTTGTATTGCAGATTCTGGTTATTTTAAGTATGTTTGTTATAAATTTTTTATTTTTTTAAGATTGTTTAATAGATTGTTGGTATGGATTGTTTTACATTGTTTTCATAGATTCTTTATATATTGTTTTATAGTTAGTTTTTATGAATAATTTATTAGTATTAAGGACAAGAGTTGTTTTGAAAAGAAAAAAATATTGTATCTGAAAAACACCTGCTAAATAAACCTTTTTATTTATTTATTATATTTATGTTATAAGGCGACTCAATATATTTTAAGTCATTTTATAAGGTTTCACGTTGAGGTCATGTGGATGAATAATTAAAAATATTTGATTGAAATATCAAAATTAATTCAGTAAAGACAAATGTTAAGTAATTTAAAAACGTACTTCGACTTTTTTATCACCCAAAATACCTAGAGGAACTTTAGATGATTTAAGTAGTTCAAAGATTTGACTAATTACAAGAATATTCTAACTGTGGAATCACTACAAATTACTACAGTAGACTCCCTCTTATCCGGACTCCTCAGGACTGAGGCTATACCGGATCTAATGGTTTTTACGGTTAAACCGACGTCCCTAAAAACTCGCTAAAATGGACCGTTTAAATGCATACTGTATACAGTATTTTACTTAAATTTAGGAGAGCATTGTATTTAGACACGTATGATCACTGGTCTCAAATCTTTCTCACGAGAACAGTCGTTTCAGTATTGCCCACTTCCTGCCGATCTAGTCCGATTAAACCGATGTGCTGATAAAAATTGTCCGGTTAAAGAGATTTAATTTCCGCCGAGTGTAGTCCAGTTAAACCGATGTCTAGTTAAGAGTTGTCCGGATAAGAGGGAGTCTACTGTACTGTAAGGAAATTTAAAACATTTAAGTTGTAAGAAGCAATGATACAGCAGGGTTGGAACACAAACAATCCTATATATTAATAGGCAACCTCAACCTGTGCCTTTTCAAGTTGAATGTGAGCATTCCTGGACTGGAAAATTTATGATAGGTGTAGAAAATTTATAACCAGCTGTTTACAATTTGGAAGATATCTAGTTACATAAATGTTCTGAATGTAGAATCTCACCTTCTCACCAAATTACATCTAGGCCTACCTTAAAGGAACTTTAAAATATTTAAATTTGTTAAAACATGTCTGGTTCGGTAAAGATAGATGCAGGAGAGAATATGTGAACCTACTTAAGAATTTGTGAAGTATTTATGTTCTTTTAGATATCTAATTACACAAATCTCCAGGCTAGGGGGGAAATATAGCCTTATATTAATAAAATATTAAGGTTACAATTTCCAGAGAGCCCCTCCCTTTCCCCCAAAATACCGGGTGTCCGAAAAATAACTCCCTAGTTTTATCAAATTTCTGAGGACAGTATTCGTTAGAATGGACAAAAATAATTCTTTGGGCCTGTTGAGTATGCTCTTAAGTTTTAGTTTCGTACGTTGGTATTAAGGTTGGCACACCTGTTTGACCTGCTCGGCCTTAAACGCTCGTTTCCCGGCAAGATGAATGGGGAGAGCTGGCCCGATCGCGTGGCCTCCAAGAAGCCCAGACATAACACCACTGGATTTTTTCCTGTGGGGTTACGTTAAGAACTTGGTTTATTCAGAAAAGATACGTGACATTGACCATCTTCGTCAAAGAATCGTAGCTGCAGTAGAATCAGTGACACCTGATATGTTAACTAACACTTGGAGAGAGATCGAATACCGGTTAGATATCTGTAGAGCTACAAATGGGTCACATATCGAGGTGTACTAATGTCAAAATAAACTTAAGTAAACCCTCTTTAATTTCATGTATTAGATATAAGAATATGTATTCTCTACAATTTATCAAAACTAGGGAGTTATTTTTCGGACACCCGGTATACTGAAATGTATCAATGAAAGATTGATATGCAAAACAATGAATAGTTTAATTCAGTTTTATTTGACATAAATATACGTCATTTGAAATATCTTACTCTCTTTATTTAGTATTCTTATTCCTGAATAAATTAAACAGTGCACTCAGAAATATTGTTATGAATGGAATCAAAGAATGGATGGATGAATGGAATATGGAATGTATGGAATCAATATGAATCAAAGAACCAGGTAGTTTGAGGAGTTGCAATTAATGCTTTTTAAACCTTATGCGCCAATATTAACCCTGCAGTAAAGTAGTAAATTCAACATAATTATGATCCAATAATGAATATAAATTAATAATTTCCATTCATCAACTTAATGCCCACATAACTGCCAGCCAAGGAAACTTCCAAGAGATCTCTTAAACTTAATAATTCCTTTTTGGTGAATGGTAGAGAGCTCCTTACCCAGCATAACTAGATTGAATTTGGTTTTTAATTTTTAAATACAAGACTTAGTTTTTCACTGCTCTGTCATGATTTATTTCAATCATACACCATAAAAGCAGTCATCGTTCTCCCTAAATCTGCATTAAATGGACTACCTCTTTCTTTTCCTTGAAGGATCCCTTGGATTCATATAGCTCTCAGTTTGAGGGAATTGAGGCTGAATAAATATTGAGGTAAATATTGTCTAACAGTAGTTGTGATAAGTAGTTGTGATAAGGCTGGAGGGGGGTACCCTTCCTCCCTGCCCCACCTTAATAGGAATATATTATATTGATAAATTGATGTAATATTTACTCATATTACATAACCCATGTCTTCTTTGTGGTATTTACCCCCCCCCCTTCTTTTAATGGTAAACCGCTGCCACTGCTGCCAATATTACAAATATAATAAATGCAACACCTTTCTGTGATTTTTTTAACCTCTTAGGCAGCTTATCTGATATGGGCTCAAGTGTGTGAGGTTATGAGAGTGTTGCTTGATTGGAAAGATGGGGAACTGGACAGACAATAACTGATATCTATCAGACACTGCCAGTTTGTAAGCATTTGAATTTCCTAAGTTTATGATGGTGACCACATTTCACAGAAAGTTGAACAAGATGCAGCAGTGTTTCCTCGGCTATCAAGAGCCATAGTTTTTTTGGGGACACAATAATACAGATAAAAGATGGATTTGAGGGGTGAAACAAAAAGCTCAAATTTTCACAGAGAACTAAGGTACAGAGGAAATTTGTTTATGGGACAACCGTGCGCTTTCAACTCTAGTATGTTGTGCCGGAAATATACGTGTGACCAGCAAGGAAAGCTCAAGAGGTGAGCACTGTGCAGAAATTCCTATCGCACAAGGCACAGGGTCTTCTCAACCATGAGCATTAACATTAAGTACATGTTAGCAAGGGTGTTAGACTTTGCACTAGACACCAACAACTAGTGCTAGAAATCACTTAAGTGTACCATTGAGTGTTTCCTCTGTACCTTACTTCTCTGTTACTCTAACCCTAATGGAACAAGTCAATAGAGATCAATAAAATGTTTTGTTTGTGTCAATATTTTACATTAGACATTGCTATGTATCTTTAAGTTTCACTATAGATAAAGTAAAGGGAAATCAATATGGCAAATACAAATCACTGAACATCAATGTAACTAGAGTACATAGAAATGAATATCACAAAGATACTGTATTGACTGATGTGTAATGAAACTTGACTGCACAAAAAAATAGTTAAATCAATTAATCAATACAATTTTTTATTGATCCTTATTAATTCTATTCCAATGGAGTAGGTCAAGTCAATGAGAAACACAAAAAAACTTCTTTCAAAGAGAGAAATACATCACAAATAAACAAAATTCAACTATTTTGTGGTTACTTTATTTCATAAAGTGAAAAGCTAATACTTATTGGCTATCAATCCATTTTGAGTACTGTTGTTTTAAAAATTAAAGCAGTTACATCCAAAAGTGATGTTTTTTTACCAAAACAATGAATTATTAACATCAAGCTAATTTAATAAAAATTCCACAAAATTTAGATCAAAAAATATTTTACAATATTAAAAATGTTTTTATCATAATATATTACAGTTATTCACAAATAATTATGTACACACACTCATACTCTTTCAGCAAACTCTCAAAAACACTGATCATCTAGAGAAAGTCAAGGAGAGAAAGTTTTATTTAGATAAATGAGCTTCTCCTCATCAACATAATATTCTTTTGCAAAGATTGTGTCCATTTCAACAGCTGATTCAAATATCTGAAAAAAAAACAAAAAAATTAGATGAAACAGGCAAATCGGTATAGTACAGTGCTATGGGCAGTAGATCAAAATGTAGTTTTAACCAAGTGTACTGTTTCTTATTGGACCTTGATTTAAAATATCAATCTTATGAGGAGGAGGAGTGTGAATCACATTAAATGATGTCATAAATAATTAGATGGTCCCTCCGTAAAGATTAGGTAAGAAAGATAGAATCAAGCCAACCATTCAAAACTTATAATTTTTCAGGTTCTTTTTATTTTTCTGAATATTTTTTCTTGTCTTGAAGATATTAGAACTTTAAATATAAAAAACAACTTGTTATTTTTGAAACTGTATATCATTAGGGTAACTTTATTACAACTGTAACTATATAATTTAGCACCTAAAGACAAAGTCTAAATCTGATCATGATAAGTTTTTAAAATAGCAGAGATTATGAAAGGGGGATAGAAATAGGACAATAAGAAGTAGGATATTCTAAGTTTCACATAAAATAGTTTCACAACACCTAAACAACACAAATCACCACTAATACTAATACAAATACCAACTCAGATTACCCAGCACTAAAATTAGCTGGTGAAGATAGGGTTATAGACAGTAAATTAAGCTGGAATTATCATATTGATCATGTGGCAAATCGAATGTCAACAGGCCTATTTGCACTTTATCGATTATCAAAATTTTCAAATTTTGTAAACTTGAATCACTAAAATTGGTTTATTTTGCTCATATTCACTTACATTTATCCTTTGGTAAAAGTATTTATGGAGGAACATCACAAGCTAATTTAGACAGAATTTTAATTCTCCAGATAAGAGCAATCCGCATTATGTTAAATTTGGATTGGCAAGATTCTGTTAACGAAAAATTTGAAGAACTAGGCAAATGACTGTATATTCAAGTCGTGATGGTCAAGTCTCGAAATTTCGGGAAATTTTCGGGAAATTTTAAATCTTGTTACACGAGACGAGATTTCTTTTTGGCCGAGATTTTTATCGAGACAAGAATTAAAAAAAAAAATTAAAAACGCCTGCAGAAAGTCAATGCAATACCTGCAATACAGGAGCGTGTTGTAGTTGCGTTTCCTTTGCAAAGGCGTTCTTATTTAATTAATTCTGTAAATGTAAATATTACATAATTATTTTAATAATATTACTTTAATAATAACATTTGAGAAGTTTTGTTAAGTGTAAGCAGTGTGAGGAATGTTTTATTATTATAAAAAGTCAAAACAAGTAACTATATTATAAAAATTAATATTGCTTTTATTTTATGATTTATTTTATTTTAGGATAAGTTGAACTCTATTCTAACTGATATCACTATGTTTCCTAATCGTAGGCATTTTTAATAAGTTAGGTGTGATTAATAAAAAAATTTTATGCTGATGTTTTTTAATAAAAGGTTGAAAATATTCTTGCCTATTATCATTATTTTTGTATTTAAACAGTCATCTAACAATGTTACAAAATCAGGTAAAAATTTTGAACGTGCATTTCCCGTTGTGTATGAGAAGGGAAATCCCGTCTCGATCTCGTCTCGAAATTTTATGAGAAATAAAAAATCTCGTCTCGTCTCGTCTCGAACTAAAAATCCAATCTCGTCCATCCCTAATATAGCTATTATATCTATCAATGTATACTGTATTATATACTGTCCAAAATTCAAATAATGTCTCACTGGTAGGGGATTCTCATCAATACTGTACCAGAAACAGAAATAACTATGCAACACCTTCACATAGATTAAGATTTAAAAAAAAAAAAAAAACAATTTATATGGGTATAAAATGTTACAATGCTCTTTCAACAAAATTAAAGGACTATACAAAAACTTCAAAATTTAAAAACAAGCTAAAAATGTACTTTTTAACTAAACCCCTGTACTCAAAGAATGATTATTTCCTTCTACATAATATATTAGAATAAGAACATTTTCAATAGTCTTGTACTTTTTAGGATTAAGTATTATGATTTTGATCCAAATGACGCCATTCGTGCACATGTTTGCAAATTATGAATAAAGTTTATTTCATTTCATTTCGTTGTACGCTTAGTAGTGGTATGTTCATTCTGTTTCAATGTGAGAGTACCGTTAAGTGCTGTTTCTGTATTATACAAGAAATTGCTGAAAGAGAAGAGAACCAAGAAGCTGTGATGCTGTGAAGCTGTGCTGAACATCGCAGATGGAATGCCATCTCTGGCCTACAAAGGCACCATCCTGAAATATTGCAAACTGTGTTTTCTAGAGGGTTTACATTATCAAGACCGATTGGTTTTGTATAATGTAATGTGCATAATGCAAAGTGCATAATGCAAAGTGCATAATGTAAAGTGCATAATGCAGAGTGCATAATTCAATTTCTCTATCGTAAAAATATATGGGAAAATCTACCACCCCTGATAAACCCAGGAAAAATCTAGACTTGACTCAAAATGTCATTCTGTCCTGAAAAAAAAAAAACTCAGACGGATACACCAAAAAGCTGGAAAAGCATTTCCCATTTCTTCACACCCATTTGTGAAATCACAAAAATAACGCTTGTAAAATATTTCCTATTTTCATTTCATTGATATTATAATTTACAATTAATGAAAGCGGGTTAATGGGTTTCTAGCACTAATCTGACTTACAGGAGATAGAGTTTTCTGCCATTATGAGAGTACAGTATAGTTTTAAATCACTTAAATATCAACTTACCACTGAGCCATTGATTGTAACATTCTGGTCAATCTTTACATTGTCTCTATATGTATCAACTACATTTCTGTTGTTCAAAATGTCAATATTTGGGTCACTTTCTATTTCCATATCTGACATTAGTCTTTTGCAGCCATGTATTCTAGTTGGTTTCTTCTTATTTGTTACATACACTATATCACTCATTGAGATGTTGTTTATACTTGGTGTAGTTACATTTCCTGAAAAGTTTTAACAATTTTTTGTTAGTAATATGTGAGAGAAACTTGACGCCTCCATGAAGTATAAGCTGTGTTCTGTGATTAGGTGTCTATGCGCAAGGGGCTTTTCCTTTTGAAGTCCATCCCCTGTTGGTGGATGTGAACAAACTTTTTGAACCTATAAAATGTGAATATGGGGTGGAAGTTGTTTGGAGGTGGTTGTAAACATTTAAGAATGTTAAGAATAAACCAAATTTTAGAATAAACAATGTTAAGAATGTTTTTTACGATGTTGAAAATGCTTTTAACAATGTATGACAGCTGTGATCATTCAGGAATTTTGTTTGAGGCAGTGACCCAAGTAAGGCAAATTCTCATAGGGACGGCGGTGTGACTGAACAAGAGATTGCCGAACTGACAGAGGACGTGTCTCACTAAGACTACCGAGAACAACGGCAAACCCTGGCAGTCTTTAACATGCCGATCTGCGAGCAAAGTTTCCTCAACTTATTTCATCATCTCGATGGAAACGGTTGAACACACGCTGCTAGCCTTGTCATGAAAATTGATATGGCCTTTTTTGAAATCTCTGTCTAAAAACTTGCTCAACAGGGGTTGATCTACTTCCCACAGAAACCAAATTGCAGAACATGATTTATATTTGGTAGGAGCGGAGCCAAGATTTTCTTTCAAATTGTTATTATAGTATCTCAGGAGAAAAATCTTTGTTTAGGGGATGAGACTGGCTAGGACAATTTACACACTGTTTACCTCTTGAGTTGTATTATTTAATTTTACAGGTAGGCCTACATTAATCATCAACAAAGTTCAACTATTCTCAAAATTCCCAACATGTAGTTAAAAAGTGTTTTTGCAAATAAAGTGATATAAAAGTTTTTACTTATACATTATTTAATTAGGAGATAATGGCTAGTGAAATCTACTAAACATATATGATGATTGATTTGTAGCAAACGGATTGATGTTTGAATTAACAATTGTAACTTACGTCAATCAATCCAGTTGTGTATTGGAGGGACGTACGTTTCGACCTTTAGGCCATCTTCAGCCCCGCTGTTACACTAAGTTCCATCCTTAGTTGCATTGTTGGTGTAGCAACCGCGTCAAATATTTACAATTAAGAACATAAAAAACACGAAAACACGACATTGACGAAGACGAACACATATTAACAAAACTATCACCGTGCGCACGGCTGAACGGGCTCGGGACTGCGGCGGCACTGACTTGTCTAAGTGCCCTGCTTTAGACTTTGGACCACGACGTCACTCACTCCTTCTTGCATTATCTGTCAGTCGAATAATGGTATCATATACAGGATTGGCGTCTGAATGAATTCTTTCATTTAAAATATTTATATTTAGCTTGAAACCCTTGTATATGGCCATTTCTTCTAGTCTGTCAAGCCGCTGTCCTTTCTTTTCCCTCGCTAAGATTTCCAAATTACTGCCTATATTTGTATAAGTGTGCCCCTGTTCATTTAAGTGCTTCGCATATTTTGATTTAATATTTGTTCCTGGTGTTCTACTAATATTCTCAAGCTCTTTAACATGTTCTTTAAATCTCAATTCAAAAGATCTGCCCGTTTGTCCTATATAAAATGCGTTGCAGTCGTTACAATTAAGTTGGTATACACCTGAACCTTTGTATTTATTTATATTGTTAGGTTTATTCGTACTGCTTAATATTTTCTGCAAATTGTTTTCTGATCTGAAAGATGGGGTGATATTTTGTTTTCTAAACGTTTTCTTGATAATGTGTTCAGTTTTCTTTGAATACCTGACAGATGCATACTTCTTGTTTGATTCTGAATGTGATACATTAGGTGATATGTATTTTGCCATACGTTTATTATACATTCTGTCAATAAGAGCTGGATCGTAACCATTTTGCTGGGCTATGTATTTTATGGTATTCAGTTCCTTCTGTTTGTCTGTAGTACTCATTGGTATGTTAATTAGTCTATGTAACATGGAATTGAAAGCTGAGAGTTTATGTGATAACGGGTGATAAGAAGTTGCGTGGATTACTTGATCAGATTGTGTGGGCTTCCTGTATATTTTAAATTGGTGCTTATTGTCAATATTGGATATGGATAGATCCAAGTAGTTTATGTTACCATTAAATTCGGTTTCTGAAGTAAAGGATATATTGTTATGTATGGAATTCAAATATTTTTCAAAGATAGCTGTTTGCCTCTTGTTGCCTTTGTATAAACACAAAACATCGTCCACATACCTCCACCAATAAGGACAGTAAGGACAGTAAGAGTTTAAAAAACACATCTGACCTAGTTGACAAAATCAAAGATTTCAACATACCACAAGGTACCACAATGATTTCGTACGATATTAAAAGTTTGTACACTAGTATCCCAGTAAAAGAAACATTAACTATTTTGAAGGAGAGATTAACAGAAGGGGGGAAGCTAAGTGATAATGAGATAAAGGAAGTGATTAACGCAACCAGTATTATCGTCCAGCAAAACTATTTTGTGTTTAATAACAACTACTATGAACAATCTGAGGGATTGGCAATGGGCTCACCACTATCAGCAATTCTAAGCGAAATATTTCTTCATAATTTAGAAAATAATAAAATACTTGCAGGGAATCAATACCATAGTAAAATTATTTATTGGTGGAGGTATGTGGACGATGTTTTGTGTTTATACAAAGGCAACAAGAGGCAAACAGCTATCTTTGAAAAATATTTGAATTCCATACATAACAATATATCCTTTACTTCAGAAACCGAATCTAATGGTAACATAAACTACTTGGATCTATCCATATCCAATATTGACAATAAGCACCAATTTAAAATATACAGGAAGCCCACACAATCTGATCAAGTAATCCACGCAACTTCTTATCACCCGTTATCACATAAACTCTCAGCTTTCAATTCCATGTTACATAGACTAATTAACATACCAATGAGTACTACAGACAAACAGAAGGAACTGAATACCATAAAATACATAGCCCAGCAAAATGGTTACGATCCAGCTCTTATTGACAGAATGTATAATAAACGTATGGCAAAATACATATCACCTAATGTATCACATTCAGAATCAAACAAGAAGTATGCATCTGTCAGGTATTCAAAGAAAACTGAACACATTATCAAGAAAACGTTTAGAAAACAAAATATCACCCCATCTTTCAGATCAGAAAACAATTTGCAGAAAATATTAAGCAGTACGAATAAACCTAACAATATAAATAAATACAAAGGTTCAGGTGTATACCAACTTAATTGTAACGACTGCAACGCATTTTATATAGGACAAACGGGCAGATCTTTTGAATTGAGATTTAAAGAACATGTTAAAGAGCTTGAGAATATTAGTAGAACACCAGGAACAAATATTAAATCAAAATATGCGAAGCACTTAAATGAACAGGGGCACACTTATACAAATATAGGCAGTAATTTGGAAATCTTAGCGAGGGAAAAGAAAGGACAGCGGCTTGACAGACTAGAAGAAATGGCCATATACAAGGGTTTCAAGCTAAATATAAATATTTTAAATGAAAGAATTCATTCAGACGCCAATCCTGTATATGATACCATTATTCGACTGACAGATAATGCAAGAAGGAGTGAGTGACGTCGTGGTCCAAAGTCTAAAGCAGGGCACTTAGACAAGTCAGTGCCGCCGCAGTCCCGAGCCCGTTCAGCCGTGCGCACGGTGATAGTTTTGTTAATATGTGTTCGTCTTCGTCAATGTCGTGTTTTCGTGTTTTTTATGTTCTTAATTGTAAATATTTGACGCGGTTGCTACACCAACAATGCAACTAAGGATGGAACTTAGTGTAACAGCGGGGCTGAAGATGGCCTAAAGGTCGAAACGTACGTCCCTCCAATACACAACTGGATTGATTGACGTAAGTTACAATTGTTAAACATATATGTCCCCTCTTAAAAATAATGAACTAAGACTATGTCAAGCCCACTTAAACTGGAAGGTATAGGCTTCTAAAGTGTAGTCTGTCAAATCTTATTCTTCTAGAGATTACGTTAGACTAGTGAAAATATTGGCTGAAGTTTTTATTCGGGGCAAAATACAATAAACTGAAGAAATTAATTATATTTTTTGGCATTCCTATCACAAATGGGTAAAAGACTACTTAAAAAAGGAGTGTTCAACTGATACAACACAACTCAAAGTGTACACTATTCCCCGATAATGAGAATCATTTTGAAGATTAGGTACATTTGCTTCAAGGGGGCTGGTTTATGGTCATTTATGGTAATCAGGGAAGCTTATAAATCACTAAAAATCATGACTGTGATATCACTATACATCCTTGCAGTGATTAAATATACTGAACAGAGTGAGCTTACAACAGGAAAAGATTCTCACTCTCTCAACACTCGAAGAGCTACAGACTACCTTCTCCCAGCTCACCATACAACTCAATACGGCAGGAAGCCTACCTACATGGGACGAAAGGTCTTCAATAGCCTGACAAACCACTTGAAGGTCTTAAGAAATCAAGACTTGAAGAGGAAACTCAATGACTGGCTAATGGATCAACCATTCTACTCACTAAAGAAATTCTATGATCAAAATTGTTAAGCAATATGAAAATTCAAATTACAATCTATGTATATGACACTATTGTATTTCTTAAAGAAATCTCAATAAAGAAAATTGATAGATTTCAAATGCACTTTTTAAGACTATCCAAACCAATGTTCCAAAAGTATATAGTTATTCTTAAAGCCAGCTATTTATGAATAGCTTAATAAATATGTATATACTTGCGAGGTTTAAAACCAAGAATTACATGGTGTTTTTAGGTAACCATTATTAATTTCTGACTATTTGGAGTTGTGAATTCTAAATGTTCAAGTGGTTGTTACAGAGAAGTCTTGTAATCTAGTTGTTATTTTCAACCAGTAAATAATACCAGTACTTATAACCAACTAACCGGCTTAGTATGTTTTAGCTACTAAGCCATATCATTGAATATACACAGAAGTCACCATATTCATTAACACCATACACAAGGATATTTTATATATTGTTATTTTATACAAATATTTATACCTTTTAGTGAGACATTTCCTTTGATGTGAAGTTGACCGGTGATTCTTTGTGTATCAGTATGATTTAAATAAATGCAGTCTTGTATGAAATCCTTCAAGTTTAGATCATTAACCTTTTCTACCAGCAAGGGACCAAACACTTTGAGATGCTGTACAGTGAATGGAGGAGCCTCGCTGCTAAATTTTCTTGAGACGATATTTTCTGCTTTAACCCCATTTATACCTTCTAAAATCGGAAAAATATTGAATAGTGACATTATTTACCCTCTAGTATCTGAAATCCTAGTTTTTTTTTTCAAATCAAAAATGAAACTGTAACCAAAAATGTTGTATCATTAAATTCAACACACCATATTGAGATGAAAGACAGTTTCAAAAACAGAAACCACATTAAACAGACAAAAAAACTCAACCAATAAGAAGTTATGTTACCAGTTAGTATAGTTGGCACTTTTTGGTATTATCTTTTATCAAAAGATTTTAGTTAACAAACAATAATTTGTGTAAATATAGATAAATTAGTAATTGAGTGAAACCTGTGGGTAAATGTTTTGTACCAGCTGCAAGGGAAAAGCTCATCCCTAACACGCTAAAAATCTTTGCACTTCATCGGGCATTCCCAACTAACTACTGTTGGCCCTTTGTACTCATTCATACTGAACTATCCTAAGTGCAGCTGGGATTTATTTAACGCTGAACAAATGTTCGATAACATTTATGTTTTGCAAGAAAAACGTAAAGTTAAAGCAACTTTCTTTAAAAGTTGATAATTTGTTTAAGATGCTGCAGTGGGAAAAGGGTAGGCCCAGTAATCTTCATGGCCCAAGTCCCTTTCTAGCCCTTCTGTCTTTTCTGTCTCAATCCCACAAGCATTCAAAACAAGTCAAACTAACCCATATTAAGACCGCCCGGCCCCCCTCATTGGATTTAATCTTTAGACCAAGCTAATTCCAGATTCCTTTACAGAGTCTGTGTTTGAACAGGTTCATTATAAAAGGTAATATACGCTTCAATTTAAGTTCAGTATACCTATAAAAAATATTGGGGCAATGAATACTTATGTTTGCTGCTATTCAAAACCCTGCCTCTGATTTCAAATTTCAGATTTATTTAAAATAGAATGTTGGTCATTTTGGGTTTTAACGATGTTTCTACCTAAGAGTAGCCTATACTGTATACAATGTGGTACCATTGTTCTGTTTATGGATTATTCTAAAAATTGTTTCTAATTTAATATCACAACTCACCTGGGCATTCTAAGCTAAATGCTTTAAATCCATTTATAAACGTTTTGTTTCCAGTAACTACTTCCTTGCCATCTCCATGATGCCGTACAATTCTTTGGTCGATATCATTGATATTGATGTCATTTATTAACTTCAACTGGGCATCTCCTTTGACTTCAATGTTTTTACATTTGAAAGGTTTCAAGAAGGTTTTCTTTCCTGAAATGATCTGGAATACAAATTAGATTAAATTAATGGTAAGTTTGGTACTACTATTTTCAGAACTATTATTTATCTTTAGCAAACATAGTTAATGCTAATGTTCCTAACGAGCTGATTATATCAATAATTTATAGTCAGCAAATGTAAAAAGTCAATAACTCTTCACAATTCTTATTTTAGTACTTTTCCTTTAATTTAAAACGCTAAACATCTTGAGTACTGTACATTTAATAAAAGTAGTTGATTCCAAATACCTACTTCACTCACTATCAAATCAAACAGGTGACTGACTAAAACATTAATAGTTATCCTACTTATTTTGTCATTTTTCTACGTGTAAAAGGCCTACTTTTCAATTTACATAGTTTTATTACTAAACAAGTTCAATCTTTGAGGGATTACGGGTATTGACTTTGGTAATGATGGCCTTTTACATCTGGTCATGTTTTGAGAAGTGACTTCATAAACTTCATATAGATACATACACATGTGGAAAAACATGTTACATTGAAAACAACATCAGATTAGCCAATTGATCATTTTTTCCCTGGATACGAGTAATTAAAAAAAAGTAATTAAAAACATTTACATACATGGGATTGGTAACTGATGAGTTGTAAGTGGTTCATTTTTATGAAGTTAAAATATCTTAAGGCTTTTGTTGGAACAAGTTCTCCAATACAGGGGATTTGTCTTTTCATCAGTGATTGCTAATCCTTATTGTTTTCTAAATAGGTGGAGCTACAACTGAACGGTGGACTCCATATACTACCTAGTTACTGCATTATCACATGGATAAAAACCCCCACTGAATAAACAAATTTCTATTTGCCTGATTGGGTTTTAACTTAAATATTCCAAGATTTTGATTGGAGTGTCCAATCGAAATTGATCACAACTTACTATCTTTTATGTATATTTTACCGACTTGAGAGTAACAATATAAACGTAAATATTTGTTTTAGGTGTTATAATACGTTTCTTTTATTTACTTCCATAAATTAAATAACATATACAATGCTGATCAAGAAGTTATACAATATAATTGCCAAGAGTGGTGGGTTACCTGATTTTCTTTTTCCCTTGAAAGAGCATCTTGAAATACAAAAGTGATGTTTTTGTCATTCAAAGACCCAACTCGGATTTTTGGTACAGAGAGAAGTTTTATCGTAACGTTTCCAGTGATCGTTTGATTGCTCTGAGATGTTACAGCAGACTCCAACAGATGCTGAAGTTCATCTCCACCCTCCTCTGGCCAGGATATATCCCCAGCAATATCAACTGACGACCACTTGCTGCTTTGCCCAAAGGAAACATCACTCTCAGCCTAAAAGAACAAATTACTTAATACAATTTTTTTTAATAATAATATTTTTTTCATAAAGAATACGTAGCTATCAACAGTCATCATGGTAAGACAAGTATGAGAGCCTGTAATGTTGCTTTAGAGTAATGTCATATGGTAATTACTACTTTCAGGTTCATTTCTCAATCCTTAAATTTTATTTCTAACTTTAAGAAAATTGTTATTCCTCTGTGAAAAAGTATGATTTTAATTTTATTTAAATGTTAAAAATAAACTATTTTTTATGGTTAATTTTTATTAAATATACTTCATCAGATTTTGACAGAATTATAATCAAGTGCAAAACTCTATTACCCAATGTTATGCTTAAGATCTTCTTAAGATATTCAATTCAGCTTTACACGCCTAATAAAGATGTTTAATTTTTAATTTTAATCCTAAAATGAAACATAGTTTTGAAAAAAAGTCAAGTTTAGCTCATTGTAGTCACTTATTAAATACAGGTCCCATAAGTGACAAATAATTTAGTAATAGGTTTTAAGGGTCAAAATAAAACAAAATCGTAATTTTTATTTCTAAGATAAGGCTAAATGAGGCGCGCCCTGACTAGCTTAGCCTTTAAACATCTAGGTTTAACTTATAGTAGCCAGGGTCTTAAAGTAGGTTTGTTATGAAACTTGATGTGAATTTAGCCACAGACCTGCAGTTTGCATGTGATGCGCTATGGGCCCAAGGGATAATTTCTACCCTAGCTCCACCTACCATTGGGAAAATTTTTCTCTTCTTCGGGCCCTAAACAAACCTAAAACCTCTTACACCCGGGCCCACTGGGCCCATTTATTACAGCAACCCTGTTGCCATCATCAGGAAGAGAGTCTATATTTACTCAATTTTTCATCTTTAAAAGCACTAAAAAACACTATACTATTTATTTACTTTGGTTGGCAAACAATTTAAGATTAACCACCTACATCCAGGTCCCATCATTTATATGGGCTATAGCGCAGAATGCCAAATATTTATGGACCTCAAATTTCTAAAAAATTTATGAAAACCCACAAACCCACATTTTTCTATTGGTATTTCAACCTCCACATAGGGTTAAATCTCAATTACAAATAAATCAGGGCAGACTCTGGTGGTTGTAATGAGGGTGTCAAAACTGTTTGTGGCCCATGGCACTATTCACCCAAGCCCCAGCTTTGGGGCTGGGCTGACTACATTAAACTAGGGTGCTATAGACGATTGTTTATATAAACAATGCATAACAATAAAATATAACAAAACAAACCTTTGGAAGGTAACAGGTTTTGTGTAGGCTGGAGGAGGTAAGATTGCCATCCACAGCAAGGCTTTTAAACTGAACATTACTCTGAAGCTTCAGCTGTTTTTGATCGGTGAACGCAAAGTTTGAAACAACAGCTCCATTTATAGAGTCCACATTGAAATTTGACTCTGCAAAATCATACATTATGACTTATTTAGTACTATCCAGAAAATAATATAACACAAGACATTGGTAGACTTCCTTTTAGTGCCACTTTGAGCCTGAGCTCACAAACTTTCAAGGATTGGCTGATCTGCATTATGTAAGTGTAGAGTGAGTTCAATGTCGTCTGGAAATATTTATTTATTTTTGTAGTAGAAGTATTGAACATATTATCTTGTTATACTTCTTCTTCATTTCAATTAACACCGACACATGGTACTATGAACTAAGACTAAAGCTGCACCGTATTGAGGACTATATATGAGGACTTCCTACTTCTCTGAATGGTCACATTTACAGAGAAGTTATCAATAAACATTACCGACTTTTTGGCTAGTATCAATGGCCCACCCCTGCCGGTGCCCATGGGTGTTTCCAAAATATTATTCCATGCATGTACTTAATATGATGTACCTTTTAAAATATGTACAGTTTGCAATACAACAATGCCAAACTATTTAACATTGGTCACTAATCAAAACAATCAAAACTAAATAAACAAATCCATTTTTGTATTAAAGAACATAAGTTTTATTGATTTAGCATGATCAAACCTCCACATATTAGCTGTACAGCCACATAGAAAAATCAATAATAATTGGTATTTTTAGTATCTTACAACTAATGATGTACATCATGTTACTAAAAAGTTAGATACTTACTCATTTCAACAGTCCTAAATGTGTAGAAACCTGTAACCTCTTGTTTTTCAGACACTCTGAGAAAATCGTTCATCCTTTTATCAATGTTTATTTGGTTGATGTTTTTTATTTTCAGTTCTTTTGATACTACAACCTGAGCATTAAATTTCTTCTTTCCATAAATCACAGCGCCTTGTTTCTTATTTACAACCTGGAAAGTACATTATCAAATTGAAATTATAATAGTAGTTTAAATGCCTTTTACTGCCAGAATGAGTCTTGTACCCTAGACAGAATATAAGAATCACTCTGGCAGTAAAAGGTCTTTAAACCACTATTATATTTTACTACAACTGATCCGGGCAGGCTAACAACATGAAAATTGAAATGAACTACTTTAGAATAACAATGGTCTATATATCGGGTGTTCAGAAAGTCCCGGATCAGCTTCGTAACTTTTTTAAATATTTAATATTGACCTACAAAACTTAGAGCATGTCTCTCAGACACAAAATACTATTTTAACATGTATTCAGTGACACCCTACCTTCTCAAGGGGACGGCCCACTAAGAGTCAGAAGAAAATTTTAAACGTAAGCATAGGTTGATATGTACTTCAAATTAAAGGTATTTCCTATTAGAATACAATGCCGCAAACTTAAACTCAAACGGACAACCGAGTCAAAAATGGTAGCCGCTCAAAGACTCCTTGAATCTGCTATTTTGAATCCTTGAACGGCTGCCATTTTATACTCAGTTTTTCTTTTGAGCTCAAATTTGTGGTAATATATTCTACTAATAAATACCTTTAATTTGATATGCAAATTGACCTATGCTTTCGTTTCTGATTTTCTACCAACTTCTACTGGGCGCCCCCCTGAGGAGGTAGCGTATAATAGTAATGCAAATTTAATGCATCTTTAAATAGCAAACATTTTCACTCAGTTGTCCGTTTGAGTTTGGGTTTGCGGCATTGTGTTTTACTAACAAAGACCTTTAATTTGATGTGCATATTAACCTATGCTTTACAGATTTTCTTCTGACTCCTAGCTGGCCGTCCCCCTGAGGAGGTAGGGGGTCACTGAATACGTGTTAAAATATTATTTTGTGTCCAATAAACGTGTTCTTAGTTTGTAGGTCAATATTTAAGATTTTTTAAAATATGAAGCCGATGCAGAACTTTTTGAACACCCGGTATTTACAGGCACTGTTATAAATATTTTCTTTTTGTATTCATTCTTTATTTACGCTCTAAGTATAAGAACAATATACCAACACAAGAACAACCTCATCAAATTAAATTATTTTTTACAGCAAAACAAAAGATAAATATCCAATTAATATTATCAAACTAATATCACTCCTTATTTCCACATTTAAAATATATAAAACTAGCAACAGAGCCCATTGTGGTTAAATACGGTCTCTAGTAAAATAACGGTTATGAAATCCATACACCACATACAATTTACGTTTAATTTTATATTTACATCTACTTTTGTAAAATGCATACATGACAATTTGTAAAATGCAATCTGACCTATCCTATTGTACTTTATTGTACCAAATGGAAATAAATATATTTGATTTGATTTGTCTAACATTACCGTTGGTAGCATAGTTACGGGACCGCGGGATTATCTGTCCGACGTTGCTGGTTTGAGGATGATCCCCTGCACTTATCACTTGTATGACTTACACAAACAGAACATCAGGGTCCTTAGGTCTCACTGACAGAACTCTAACACCCCAATTCCCTACTCCATCTCTTTCCGTCTAAAACATGTGTATCCCCCTTATGAATTAATCTTAGTATCTTTATTATATACAGTACCTACCTTTTCAAAGTTGGCAGAGTGGTTGTTTATAAACTTCACGTTAGACAGGTTGGATACATGGATATCCCCATGAATAAAAACATATGGATTTTCTTCTGATGTTAATCTTCTTAAAGATTCAGAAGAGTGGTTATTTAAGCATTTCACTTTGATGTTGGTTCCTAAAATACACCAAAGTTAACTAATATGTCCATTAAACAATCAATCAAACACTTTATTAAAAGGGAAGTATAGTCAATTTCAAGCTTCAACACAGCCCTCCTGTCAACAACTTACAAATTTAATCAAACTCACTTTTTTTGTAGGATTTGTTCAGGTAGGTAACTAAATATGTGTAAATCACTTCAACTTCATAATCAAAGGTTTTATACCATTATTAATCTAAATGTTAATCAACTTCATGTCAAGATGATGCAACAACGTGGGTCTGTGTCCTTTTTTTAAGTTTTTACGTTCGTGTTGTTTAAATTTGACAATCTTCATGCAAAGATAAAGAAAAGAATGTCCTTGTGGCTCCAGGAGCAGAAACTAGCTGTGTCTGCAAATTAATGGACTGCCAAGTACTGTAACAAGTATTTTAATCTTTTTGATATTATTTGACAATCTGGAGGCTAACATCTACAGTGAAGAAAAGAAATACTTCTGAAACAAGCTGTTGATTTTTATTTCTTGTATTCTCAACTACATTGCTGTTACTAACCTCTTTCCCATGAACTTTCTATAACAATTGAGAGAAGTTGTTGGCCTTCTTTGTATGTAAAAAAATAAAAATATGCATACACAGCTGTTTTTCATTGTATGCTGTTATTATAAATTGGAACATTATGTCATGTGATATTTGTTTATACCATCACTCATGTCACTAAGAACAACTTTATCAATATGTAGCTGATTAAATGTACTAATTTTATTTCATTGCACAAAAGTATTTTACTGTGTGGTCTAATATTTTAACTAACTATAATATTTCAAAAAAATTAATAGCTCTTTATATGCAAATCACATACCTGAAATATTCTCAAACTCTACATTTTTTAACTTAAAATCATTGTCGATAAATAAAGCAGAGTTAAATTTCTGTTTTACGTCTATTTCATTTATATACTTCGCCTCAACATTCCCATCCACCTTCAGATTTCCTGTGATTATCTTTATCCCTGAAAGCATGGCAAACATAATATGAGAAATATAATGTATACTTGACTTTATAGCTTGACTAAAGATGCATGATTCATTAAACTACCTTAAAATAGAATGAATATCAAAATGTTATCGCTTTATAATATTTATAACATTTAATTTGCTGTTTTAAATCATATACCAAATTAAGTAAAGCTCAAACATTTTGAAACGTTGCTTGGCTCAAAGATACATTGCTAAATTGCATCCAAAACATTTTCCAGTATTTAGCCAGTTCAACAAAGCAGTCATCTCCCAAAGGCCAAAATTCTTCAGAAAACTCAGTTTTGTGTGTTAGCACCAATGGACATCTGGCATACTTCAGTATGTGATTTGTTTAAGTCAGTGTAATTAACTGATGGATTGTTGCAAGGGCTAGTGGTAGAATTTGGACTTTGATTCCATGTGATTTCCACCTTTTGATGCTCATAGAGGATCAAGTATGTCCAATTGCAACAAGCTTATAACCTGTTCCCTTACAAAACATCCCAGTGGTCACGTGTAAATTTTAGATCTGACTGAGCTGCTCTTTCGTTTAACATAAAGTTAAAAACTATAAGTATAATGCAATAAATATTATAAAGCATTAGAACCTCAACGATAATTTTTAAAACTTTTTTGAATATCACACGTGTAAATTTTTAAAATATATGTTCTAAGAGTTGAATCTAAATTGGTAGATTTGAGAATAAGTCTGTGGCAATAGTCAGAAATATAACGGATTCCAGATCCAAGGCAGCAATATTTTGAATTCTCATCCTATTGAAAACGTTCAGATGGGAACTTATTTTGTACCAGCTCACCCGTTGGTTTGCTTAACCAGTGGCTTAACTTACACCCAACCTATATTTATTGAATAAACTTGGGTACCATATCCAAAAGATTCAAAACATTTTTGAGCCCTTTAGAACTTTTCTTATCAAATACCTTGTGACTTTTGTTCTAAAGCAGTGTTTCTGGATCCTATATTTTTGTTTGATTTAATTATTTAGTATTTTAGTGGGGCTTAAGGTTCAATTCAATGAACTACATTGGTTTGTTTTGCTCTATGTTTCTCATCCTGACCAAACCTGACATGGGGTTCAGGTCAAATTTATTGAGAAAGCTGGTCAAAATGTGCTACCCCATTTTTTTATGGCTGTAGGTAAATTGCTCCCTCTTGGCTGGTGCTCCAGGGAGGCCGTGGTGCGATTACTGTACTCTTTCTTACCTGACCTAATCCCCTAATCCCTTAGTTTGATTTATATTCACTGAACAGTTGAGATTCAGACTAGTCAAAGTTAATTTGTGTAATAAAATGTAAGTAATAATTTGAGGTAACATATTTTAAATAAGTTAAAGCAACCCATTCAATTATCAAAACACTATGCCACAAATTATCTTTAGAAAGTAAATCTCATGGAAAATTAAACACCACTTTAAGTTGTACCACTGCGGAAATAAGTGTGTTATTAAATTTGAACATCTTTACTTGTCACAAGTAAAGATACACAATAACGACTACCATGACCAGACTCTACCACGACAGAACATTAGGTTCTGTCCTGTCCGCCGTGTAACCTGCGTCGGTTTGTCGCAGTGTAAATTTTATGTGTCGTCAACCTGCATGTATACATTGATGAAGACTTACGTCGGATATTTGACCATATTCAATATGATGTTTTAAATAAGGATTTGATAATGGGTCTTTGTTCCCGAAACTAGTCATCCATTGACAAAGTTAAGACTGAAGACGGAACAAGGTACATAACCTATTATATTATTAAATTTGGTTTTCTTTTGAGTTAAAACCTGAAAATCCAGTGCAAACGTTGGTATTCCTAACCTAACCCTCAGACCTAGTAGGTGACCTCAGAAAACATGACTTGCACCCCATATCACATAAACGTTACGGTAGTGATTCATACTTAAGTTTCACATTTCGCACCACGGCCTCACTAGGGCGCCAGCCAAGGGGTAGTTAACCCTTTATTTTATTTGTAACATTCAATGGAAGGATAGATACTCAAGTGGACAGGATATGGAGGGACTAATAAAGGATTTAACCTAAAAAATATATATTTAATCAATAACAACAAAAGGAAAAAGGCATATTTTTTATAGAATATGAAACTATTTTACTTGAAAAGTGGATATCTTCCACTATTTTACAAAAGGTTAAGTACAAGGTACATGCTGCAAATTGCTCACTATTACTCAACTAAAAAAATGTATAAGCAACTATCAATGTATCAACAATTTTAAAGGAAGGATGGATTTTTTAGATGTCTTTCACTAAACATTTGGCTGCCTCTACTTCCCTGGCACAGCTTACCCTAATATTAAATTTATAATTAATTCAGACTTGTCTTACACCATAGTGTTTATGATTGCTTCAAAATATAATTAAGAAGTACGCTAAATTACTCACCCTTCCCATGAAGACTACTAGTTTGTAAAATATTTTCAAATGGCTCCCCATTTATTTTCTTGATATTTAAATGCCTCACATTCAAAACTTTCAAAACTGAGCTCTGAAAACATCAATAGAGTGAAAAAACATAAAATTTCTCTTATCTTTTAAGAACCTGAAAAATACTAGATTACATGATTATATTTTATGTTGTAAATCTTCTCCATTATCTCTATTTCATATGATATGAGGCAACCATAACAATCAAACACCAAAAAATATAGACCAAACGAGATCTACTTCCAAGCTAGTTTGGAAGTGTTTGACTGATCTCTGTGCAGCTCGGTTGTGTACCAAGCCATTAGCCAAGTAGGTGACAATGATTGTGCAGAGGAGTTGGCTAGAGCATGCCATTCCTTGGGCCTGAGCCGTTCTGTGGCATTAGCAATTAAAGCAACCTGTCCAGTACATGGTTGCCTAGGACACCTGCACAATCACCCTAGTCAATCCCTGAGCAAGAAGCTACTTCCAGAATCTATATCAAAATCTTCAGAATCTGGCTGCTGAAGCTGGCCAGAGATCACATTAAACGGATAATTGCTCTCTTCACTGGAAACGGCCATTTCAGTAAACATCACCAAACCTGTGGAATCAACAATGTTAGCCATGAGTGTTGGCTCTGCAACTAGTCCGATAAGACCGAGGTATCTGTTTGGTTAAAAGCAGCCAGGCAACCTGGATCTAGAGGCAACCCTTCAAATAAAGCAATCAAACAGTCGTCATATCCTGAAATACCCCCGCCACAAACATGCAAACTGAGTGAATTTCCATTTACCTGATCAGATTTTTCGCTCAAATATTTCCTTAAAGTTGTCAAATTTTATTTCCTATCAAAACAACATTAACATTAATGAGTACTTGTGTTTGCTGTCACAGGGAAGGTAATAAAAGTGTGTTTTCTTTAGTGAAATGTTGATTAGTATGATATAATTAAGATATAGTTTTTAAACTTTCCTCTTTACCTTACCTTTACTCTTTATCTTATTTATCTTCCTGCAATCTTGATGTATAAATAGTTAAAAGTTAACTGTTATTATATTTTACCTGGGGTTCATTTTCGGGTGTCCATGATAGATTGTATGCTTCTGTTGTCAAATTACCATCAACAATAATATTTTCAAAGATCAATGAACTGAAATTTGATCTTGTAGATGCAAAACAACTTAGGTTCTTGCCATTTACAACCGGACTGCTCAAATCTCCTCCAATACTTATACCTTGGGTGAAGTGAACGGAACCATTTATTTCCTGAAAATAAAAATACATTTAATTGAATCATGGTTGGTATTAATAAGTCGGGGAAAAACAACTTTTTTACTCTTCAAAACTTTTAAAGAAGTTTAATTTGCATTCCTAAATATAGAATTCAATTATAATATGGGAAATTAAATTTGTTTAATGTATACAATAGACTCCCTCTTATCTGGACTCCTGATAACGGTTTTTCCGGCTAAACCGACGTCCCCAAAAACTTGTTAAAACAGACTGTTCAAATGCATACTGCTTACAGTATTTGACTTAAATTTAGGAGAGCATTGTATTTAGACATGTGATCTCTGGTCTCAAATCTTTCCCACAAGAACAGTCTTTTTAGTACTGGCCACTTCCTGCCGATCTAGTCCGGTTAAACCGATATGCTGATAAAAGTTGTCCGTTTATGAGATGTAATTTCCACCGAGTATAGTTAGGTTAAAACGTGTCCGGATAAGAGGGAGTCTACTGTATTGGCTGACTAGAGCTCCCAAATGTTCTCTGCGTCACATCCTTATAGCTATTCTTAACTCTCATGTCAGTGTGTGTTTTTTTATTTATTGGTCTACAGGGTTTTACTAAAGATATATATTACAAATACCCTTACAGTTTTTGGCTTTATACAACCACTACTATTTGAATTAGCATTTTTTTTTACAGTAACACACATAAAAGGACTCAGAGTTGTCTTACTTTACTGACTTCTGACTTAAATATCAGATTTTTTTATCTAATTGTTACATTTTTGAACCCTCAAATTCTGGTCTTGTCCAAAAGCTTAAAGAAGTTACTGTACTTGAAAAAAGGGACTAAAAAGACTAGATACATTAGACATATAAAATCACTTTGAAAACACATTAGGGGATCAACTTTAGAGGGGAAACTTTGCACTACACCACAGTATAAGGTAGACTGGAAACACTGTTCCTGTGCAATCCTCTACCACTACACCACAGTAAAAGTTTGAGTTAGATAACTATCGGTAACTTTAACTAAAAAAAAAACACAATAGTTTTTAAGCAGATATGTTTGTAATAAACAGAAATTCAGACTCACCTGAGGTGTATTCTTGGTCCAAAATATCTTTCCTAAATCATCAGTAGGCACAAAGTTGTTTTTTACTTCCAAAGAACTGTTTTTAAACAGCAAACGGGCAACCTTAAAAAGATAATATCCATAAAAAACATTGGAACCATAACAAAAATATATAATAAAGTTTTAAATTAATTGTAATGTAGAATCTTGTAAATATATACTACATAGATATATAAAGCTTAGAATCATTCACTTTTAAACAAATTAGAATGACAATTTTATCCCGGCAGAGGTCACGTTGAATTCAATACATAAAGACTCTCACTTGGCCTTTCAGACTGGGTATAATAACAAAGCCATATTTCAGCAACAATTACATTTTAAGTACATCAAATCATAAAAATAAAATAAAATATTGAATAAATTCTTCATTTGTTAGTAAATATTAAATCTATATGACCTTTTACATATGCTGAAGATAATAGAATATAAATTGGAGATTTCTAATAAAAACAAATACAAAGTAGCGTCGGTTTTGGGTAAACTGTTTTTATGTAAATCTGTAATGAGTCTGAAACCGTTATACAACGAAGAATAGTAAATATGTATTTAAAACATTTGATAATATCTTATAAAATGGCATAGGTACTGTACATTCAAAAAGCAAACGCAATTAGTGTCAACTCCTACATGGAGTCATGTAACCATCTACTTCATCAGGAGGTACAAAGGACAATTTGACAAATAAAAATAACTAAACATTTTAAGGCAACCCAGAAACTTAAATGACATATTTACGGTGAAATGATCAGTGAAATGAAATGATAACAGACTACCCCCTACCCTAACCTAGTGTGATGGCTGACACTATGCTAACCATCAAATACAATTCATTACCAAGCAAACAGTACGGACCTAGTCATTTAGACAGCCATGCAATCCCTCCCGGATTAATGTTTTTTTTTCTACTATACTAGATTTAGGTACAAAACGTCTGAGAAATACATTGAAGAACGGACATATAATTATATTAAATCATCAAAGTACTACTTAAACAAATCTTAAGTCTTCTGCAAAAAATTTATAAAAATATTTTAATAAACTTAAATGTTACCATGGCTTGTGGCTTAGTGTACATTTAACAATACAATGTTTTATCTGACAAAATGTAAAAACATGCAATGCGTTGTCAAGTATAAATTAGGAAGAAATACCTTCAAATCGCCGATAACCTTGATTTTCCTTTTTCTTATAATTGATTCATCGTCTCTAACAGTTTCTCTTTTCATCCTCCTGCCTTCTAAAAGAATATGATTAGTAAGTTAACTTTGGGTTGGTAAAATTAAGAGTGTATTTTATTTTTATGAATTACATACTAATTTGAGGAAATGATTATAACAGATGGATCAAAAGATCCTGAGCGTATGGCACCAGTTAGTGTTCATTTATAATTCAATTTCAAATACCTAAGTGAAAGTGGCATAGTATGTGTCATGTCAGTTCATAATAAAAAACAAGATAATTCACAAAAAATTGATCCAGCTTTTACAAGGCCAAATCTAGGTGTCAATCCAAGTTTGCACTGCTGAATCTGCATTGTGAAGTCAATATTCCCCTTTATTGTAAAGGCCAATTACTACATACTACTACAGGAATCAATATCAGTGCCAAATCTGTTTATTCATTGACCATAACACCATTACAGCATAATCTTTAGGGTTTATGGTCAAAGGCCCACCTCTCATAGTAAGCTGCTTGGAGGATAAGAGATAAAAGTCTTATTTTTGTCAATGAGCATATCCCAAGATAATAATTAGGTTGTATAGGGCAAGAATTTATTATATATTAACTGGAGGGCAGTTTGTAACGGTCAATGACTGGATTTAAGCTATTTTTTCAGTTGGGAGATGATGCATGATAAACATTAGTTTGGGGTACAACCTTGGATATTACTCTAGAACTAAGTCATAACAAGAGTATAACCATAGACTAACCAACACAAGTAGACTTCTCATCCCATTGTAAATTTTGAAGCATGTTTTTCGCATCTAGTTCATGTACGTGACACATGGGCGCTAGTGTCGACGAAACTTTGTTTCTATTATTTTAGGGTTAATTTCTTGATTTGTGCTTTACTGTTTGGTTATATAACTAGGGGACAAGTTATTGTTTATGATTAGATCGTATTATTTGGTTAAACGAGGTTTTAAATGGCTGTAATAACGGGAAACAAATTGTAAACAAAACACTACCTCTACATAAACCGTACAGACCTAACAATAAAATTGTCTTCAGCTGTTCCATAAGGATGAGAAATCTACTAAGGGAGTATGTTTTATCTATGGTATAACTGAGAAGCTTATCCGTAGATTAAGGTCTCCACCGAGCTCCCATCACAGTCAAGGAGATAGTTAAAATCTGACATCAGCGCCTTGTTATTTACTTCATCCACTACGATTCTAGTTGATTCCCCCTCTCTATGTGACTATTAGTTTCGTCGCCAAGTATGAGTCAAGCTCAGTGATTAGTTTTCTATGGTCTGAAGCATCAACCGTTATTGAAATGCATCGCCAGTTGATGGACGTGAGTGAGGTAAAGATTTTATAAGTAAAAGATGTGTGTAAGTTGTAATGTGAGTTTGGATTTGATCATAAAGGTGTACATGATGTTAAAGAATTTTTGCATGTTATACACTAGCTTCGATTGTTTATCATTTTTGTTTGAGGCAGTGATCAAATTTAGTGAAGTTTTGCAAATGGATCGCGGTGTGACTCGACCAGAGATTACTGTACTGATAAGGGACGTCTCTAAGACCACAAACGACAGCGGCAACCTCTCTAAAGTAAACCGATCAGCAAGCTTTAATCTCTGTTTTTATAAAAACTTATGAACACACACTGCTGGCCTTGTTAAGAAAATATGTATGGTCTTCTGCAAACATCCTTATCCACTTATACACATTTTCTTCGTCCACGTCAACAATTTTTGTCTGCATGCTCAACTGTCAACTTGTGATGTAAAGTGTTTTATACTTGTGGCGTCGATTTTCCCTAACTGCGATTTTGGCTGTTATGATGAGACTTATTAAGTCTCACATGGGATGGAAACCAGCTAGAATAGAGATGAATGAAGTGAAGAACAATGCTTTGGCCTCAGATTTGAGCTAGATTGCTTGGCCACAAAGGGAGATTGATGGAGACCTTTCATTTATGGACAGCCCTCAAATCACCAAAGTAGAACCTATGGCAAACACTGATACCTTCCTCGCATGTTCATTAGCTTATAATTGCATGTCAAGTTGCCAGTTATGTCTTGATACATCAATGAAAAATTATATTTATCCTTAAACAAAGCACTTTCAGAGGGAGCTGATTGACCATTAAATGGGCACAAACCCCTTTCTGCCCTTGACATTAGGTAAGCGGATGAAAATCACTCTGAAGATATGTAATTATACTGAGCATAAGCGATTATCCTATTGGTTCATTGATCTATTTCTCTAAATGTAGAAGAGGTGACCATACTCTCCCCCATGCGCCCTTAATTTGCCACAGTAGATCAATAGAAGTATAGTTAAAAGTGTGATTCAGTGGATGTTTTGTACAGTAAAATACCATGTATTTTCTTATAACGTATAGCGTAAGTAGCATTTACAAACCTAGGATGAATGGGTTGAATGGGGTCCAATACTGTGGGAGTGGTCGTGCTTGAGGAGGATAAGGTCGGTAAAGAGATATATGTGGCCGAAACTGTGGATAGATATTCATTGGTGGCGGAGGATAACTCAGTTGCGGGGGAGGAATGTAAGACTGTGGAAGAGGAAAATTAACTTGAGGTTGAGGAATGATTATTTGAGGTGGGTACGTATTTGTCTGGGATGGAGCAACATTCATTTGTGGAGAGGAGTTTACATCACTTTGTTTTTCGGGGAAATCAAATTTTCCAGCAATCATCTCTCGAGTCCTCACACCAGCTTGAAAGTGAACATTCCCTGTAATAAAAGTGATATACTAAGATAGACACATTAAGGATTTGTATTATTTTTCTTAGCATTTCAAACATAAGATGGATGACATTCAAATTGAACTCACTACTTGGAAGTGTTGCAGACAAACCCATAATTTTGTTCTTAGTAGTTTTATGTCCAAATATATCCTCTGGTGGGTTTACTATGACAACATTGAGATAGTTGGTTAGATTCCCCTAAAATTAGGCTACCTTTTATTTATTAATTCATGAAAACGTCCTTTAAATTTCAGATTCATCAATACACATGACTAGTGAAACAAAGCAATTTGTCAAGTACACACGTATCTAAAGTTACATAAAATCAAAAACATGCCACAATTAAAACCACTATAAGATAAAAAACCTCAAATGTCTTCAATGCACACATTTCTGTCAACAATAACACCAGTTATCAGCATTGGTGGTACTGATAATTTAAAAACTTTCATGGAATATATAGAGCCGTTTTATAAGAATTTTCCACAGGTTTTGAAAACTTAAGCGTGTTCCTTTAAACAGAAACATATGTTTAATCTGTGTACTTTATATAGCACTGACTTTTGGATACTAAAGAAACATCCATCTACACCAGATGTAGTCTATTTTGTATTAGAAAATAACTTAATTGAATGAGCAACTCACGGAATGTGCCACAGTCTAGAATTTAATTTTCAGCCTTCGTTGTTATTTATTGAGATAGTTGATGTGAGATAAACGATGCATAGCTTACAATATGCCATCTGATCTCCTTGATGCTTACCATATATTACATTGTCTATTCCACTAACAAATATCGATGTAAGGGTGCGTTCCAAAGGAGTATCGTTGATAAAATCAACGTGAAGGTTCTGTATTACTGTGTTATCTCGAAGTTTAAGAATTTTTGGTCTTGCTGGAATTTTTTCATCCCCTATCTGAAAATATACAACCAATATAAAAAAAATGTCATAATGAATGTCTGAAGAATCTGTGCATTATGAGTTTTAAACTAATTATCCTATTAAAAAACATTGTAACAAAAGAAATTATTTATTTTAATTGTGATCTGAGTTTTACTCAATTAACATACACATCTGCTCAAATTACCAACCAGATAACCCCTTTGAGGGACGGTCCACAAGGATCCAAACTCAAACGGACAACCAAGTCAAAAATGGAAGCCATCCAAATATTTCTTTAATCTGCCATTTTGAACCTTTGAACGGCTGCCATTTGTTACCCAGCTGATATTTTGAGCTCAAATTTGAGGCATTGTATTCTACTAATAAAGACCTTTAATGTGATGTGCATATCAACCTATGCTTAAGTTTATGATTTTCATCTGACTTCTAGCGGGCGCCTCACAGTATAATAGGTAGCCTAAGCATTGCAAATTCAAGGATTATTTGAGCAGCTGTTATATTTTGCTCCATTGTCCGTTTTAGTTCGAGTTTGTGGCATTGTATTTTACTAACTGAGACCATTAATTTGATAAAAAACTCAACCTATGCTGATATTTAAATTAAGAATTTTGTCTGACTCCTTGTGGACCAAAGGGGTTATGGGAACAGACTGGTCCCAATTTGTTTCAGCCAATTTGAAGTTTGCTTTTGTCATGATGATGGTTTATATAAATGTAATGCTCCCTACATAATACGGAGGACATTGCTTGAACTATTTGAAGATTTAAATTGGCCAGAGAAACGAAGAGAATTGACAGAGAATATATTGTCAAATGATTAATCGATTAATCAAAATACAGGGTGACAATTAAGTCTGGAACCTCTTTTTAAATTTTTAAGCCACAACAGAAAAAATATACTTAAGTTCACACGTGCTTACTGGTGATAATAACTCACACATCTGCCCAATTATTGACCGGATAACCCCTTTGAGGGAAGGTCCACGAGGAGTCAGACAAAATTCTTAAATAGCAGCATAGGTCGAGTTTGGTATCAAATTTAAGGTCTCCGTTAGTAAAATACAATGCCCCAAACCCGAACTCAAACGGACAATGGAGTAAAAAATTACAGCTGTTCAAATATTCCTTATACACATATATAGAAGAAACTTAAACTTTTACTGGAGCAATACAAAAATTATATGAGGCGTAGGGATGGACGAGATTGGATTTTTAGTTCGAGACGAGATTTTTTATTTCTCATAAAATTTCGAGACGAGATTTCTCTTCTCATACACAACGGGAAATGCACGTTCGAAATTTTTACCTGATTTTGTAACATTGTTCGATGACTGTTTAATACAAAAATAATGATAATAGGCAAGAATATTTACAATCTTTTATTAAATAACATCAGCATAACATGTTTTTATTAATCACGCCTAACTTATTAAAAATGCCTACGCTGAGGAAACATGGTGATATCAGTTAGGATAGAGTTCAACTTATCCTAAAATAAAATAAATCATAAAATAAAAGCAATATTAATTTTTATAAAATAGTTACTTGTTTTGACTTGTTTTATAGTAATAAAACATTCCTCACACTGCTTACACTTAACAAAACTTCTCAAATGTTATTAAAGTAATATTATTAAAATAATTAAAGTAATATTTACATTAAAAGAATTAATTAAATAAGAACGCCTTCGCAAAGGAAACGCAACTACAACACGCTCCTGTATTGCGGGTATTGCATTGACTTTCTGCAGGCGTTTTTAATTTTTTTTTTTTTTTTTTTTTTTTTTTTTATTCTTGTCTTGATAAAAATCTCGGCCAAAAAGAAATCTCATCTCGTGTAACGAGATTGAAAATTTCCCGAAAATTTCCCGAAATTTCGAGACTTGACCATCCCTAAGAAAAAGTTAACACATTGAGTGTGGGCCGGTCACTGAGGACCCGATGAAATTAATCACTCAGAGTGGCGCAAACTTGTGAAAAGGACCGGAGTTATTGCGTGTGCATTACAATATCCTATACGCGTGTGTTTCGCCCACAGTTTCCATTTGCACAATTTTATTGACTTTGTACATTTATTGACATACTGTATTTCTTTTGTGTCTTTGCTTTTTATACGACACAACAATATATTTTATAGTTTTTTAGTTTATGTGCCTTTTAATAAAGATGTACTTCCCAATACAAAATTGTTACCAGCACTTCCATGATTCACTGTTGTTGAAATAAACAATGGTTGGGAGAGAAGAAGGGGCTGTATATAATTGTAGATATTAGTTATAGTGCTATTTAACATTTTTAGTGTGAAAACCAGCGTTTGGGAGACCAAAAATGGAGAATTTTTGCCACGTTGCCCACAAACATCATTGTGCTGGCCAGCCTATTGGGAAAAACTGCTCAAAACACTATTTCCTACCTAAATCCTCACTTCCGGCAACAAAAAATAAGATTTTATGTAAAAAAATTCAGGCCCTGGGGAAGGACCCACTGATATATTTACTGCACTCAATGTGTTAAGTAGTTATTGTCGATTCTCCAGTACAAAGTTTTAATTTCCAGAGTGCACCAAACCTTTGTTGATACCAAGATCAGATGATCATCTTGGATTTCACATTACTTTCAGTAGCATTATAAGTTATAAATTTTTTTGGCTTATTGTAAAATACATTTTTACCACAGCAAGTGCATTTTCTTTATTAAATTAAGTTATCGTCATTGGACCACAATTATGCTTGTAAGAGCAAATATTGGAAATTATATAGTTTGATAAAATAACCTAAAATATATTTGTTTATAAAATTCCCAAACCTGTGATATTTTGTTGAAAGCATCATCTTCTGTTTCTGCAGTAACCATTTTGTCTTCTAAGTCTTTTGCTGATAAGTTATTTATAGTCTTGTCTTCACTCAAATTCAGATTTCTGGCCTCAAGGCCTGCAACGCTTAAGGGAACCCTCACTCGAGAATCAGCAAAATGGAAATCTGTTTCAAATTCACATAGGGAACAAAATTAAAGATTTTTTAATATAAATGTTCAAAGAGAAAACTTAAAAAATCATATCTGTCTTAAAAAATATCTGTTTGCATTAGTTTCAAAATCACAAATGCTATTGATGTGAATGTGAATATACACGTGTTCAATTAGAATTAACGGATTAACAATTCCTCAATCCTCATGGGCATGGACTTTTGAAAATTATTGAGGAGGCCTAAATATGATTAATAAAGAGGGAATATGGGTTAGGTAATTGTGATAGTGTAATTGCAAGGTACACTCTAATATGAGAGTAAGGTTTTGAACATTTACCATGGCAGGTGTATATAAAGGCCACACAATTAATCATGTTAATAGTCATAGTGTGTTGCCATAATAATTGCAACGTTTCTACATTGATACACGTGTGTTAGCAAGGATGGGAATGAAAGCTTTTTTTTTAAACACCCCATAAGAAGAAGTCTAAACAGATCATTTTCTTTATTTAGGTGACCGCATCATATTATTCAAATGTGTCCTATCCAATTTCTATAACTTTGCCTGCATGCCAGAAACGGTGCGAGCCTTGAGGGCTTCTTAGGTGACATGTTGATCAGACATAAACTCATAAAGTAATGTGACGAACAATCCCAGGTCTGTGTCCAATAGATTAGGGGGTTTTAGTGAGTAGTCTGATAAAATAAATAAATAAGGTCTTTATTTTCAAGCGTTCGTCATCAAAGTACAAGCTCTGTTTTTCATGACAACTTTTGTCAAATTAAGTAAATAAAACAGTTCAATAATCTATATATAAAATAAAAAGTAAAAGTATCCATACAGTTCAGGTAAACATTTCTTTTGCACATTTCTTAAACCTAATGTAACTGTACTCTTTTAAAGTGTGTGGCTGTCCTGTCGAGTACTGTGCTCATTGATTTCATGCCTCAACACCAACTTTCTCCTAAGGTTTCCCTAAGGTTTGTCCTAAGGTTTTCCTGTCTGGAAAACTTTGTGGACCAGATTTACAGTTTGTATGTCAGAGTACCCCATGATCGACAACACCTTGTCACTCAATCTGTACCGTACTCGGTAGTGTGATCAAATTTTTACAGATTTTAGACAAATCTAAGCACTCTGTTCTGCAGCCTGGTAAGAATCCATCCTCTTTTAGATCCCAAAAAAATTTTTTAAAGTTTCCTATTGACTACCATTCTTTAATAACTAATATTCATACTACTACACTCTATTTATTAGGAATGAAAATAAAACATTAATGTACCTTCAACATTTTTGTTGCCAAGCTTTTTAACCACCAGCCATTCGACTTTCAACTTTTTTGCTTTCACATTTTTCAATCTTTGTGATATTGGGTTCATTGCAGACAAAAATGAACGTGGTTCAAAGACATTATTATTTATAAGCTGGGCAGATAGTGAGTTTAGTTTTGCTTCTTTAATGTAAACATCTCCTTGGAAAATCAATGATCTATTTTTCTCCATTGGGGTGGTTTGCAGTTTTCTCCAGGTTGTGTTAACCTCTTGAGACAGAGGTTCGACGTAGTTTGTAGAAAGATCTGCCATAAACTGAGCTATGTCTCTGCGTAAGTGAACTTCCATGTGGATCTCTCCACTGTCTACTTGGATCTCCTCTGGAACCAGAAGAATAAGGTTTAATACGATTATTCATACTATCAGCTTCAAAGTAGAAAAGGTTTTTGGCTTTACATCAAATTCAGCTAATCCAGACAAATCACTTTTACAACAAAAAGTAATTATATTACACTCTGATAAACATAACTTGGTTTAAATCTGATGAGTTTGTTTTAAGAAACTGAAAGAACACTAATGTTTCAAACAATTCTAGAACAAGATTATTTTCACGCCATATTGCAGAAGCGAGGTAGAACTTACATGTTTAATCATGATACTGGCCTAACTTGAACAATAAATCATGCTGAGACACCCTCTGAGCTATGAGATATTTTATGGATTTTAATATGGCAATTGTAATTTGAATTTTTCTTGGTCGGATTAACAATAAAATACAAATTTGTACAACACTAGTTTTCAGTGGACACACACACTGCCTTGGACTCCTCCTGAGTTGTACGAGGGTCATTTTTAAGTAAGAGCCGTTTTTGCGTATAGCTCCGTAGATCGTGAGTATGCAGCAATGAGGCTTTTTATGACCCTAATGCAATGAGAATGGGTTAGGTGCAGAAATGGGCTAGGGAGTTTTAGAATGGCCTTTGAAATGTTCAACTCACAGAGGACCATTAAGGATAAAGGTTTTCACAACCATTTTTACACTCCTAACTTATTTCCACACTTTACCCTCTCCCATAGCATTCGGTCCATAACCTTCAGTCCTAGTGATGAATGTCAGCAGGGGATGTGTTTCAGTTCTTGTAGTCAAAAAACTAATCACTGACCTCATCTCACACTCGGCGAGAAGCCTTGTTGCAGCGGAGAATTACACTAAAACGGCCCTTACTATACACAACTCTACACAACCCTCGTATACCATAGTCTATGGAATGTGGAGATAACTCATTAAACCACACAATCGATCAAATCTGAAGGTCTAATGGATCAATAGTAGGCTACTGGCAAGTTCGGAGGCCAAGCAAAAGTAGGTTTGCACTTGACTCTCATCATCACATTTCAGGTGTTGCCTTCACCAATTTACTTGAATTATACGCCCATTAGTATAATCTATGGGATCATATTCTCAATGTAATGATGGAATGATACTTCAAACAATATTGACAAACAATAAACAATGAATGAATTACAAATATTTATCATCGATGTAGAGCTGAAAACATGTTTGTTTGATTAATTACGGACTACTTACAGATTACAAACGATACGCGACAGACAATAATGTCTGTTACAGATTAATTGTAAGTGAAGGTCTGGTTATGATGATCTTGATGGCTCTACCAGTATTGGCCTATGGGGCTCAAAAAGTTAAGAACAAAACTACAGCACAATAATAGTATATGGTTGTTCTAATTCAGGCAAATGACACACACAGACACCACTGTTACCACTGTTTGATTGTAGCTTAAAGATCTGCATTATATTATTAAAAACTGTTTTGGCAAATGTTCCCCTACATTAGAGCAGAAGTTGGACAAAATAGTTGTAGACACACCTGTAACAACCCCATGGCTGATGGAAGCATCTTTGTTTGTGAGTAAAACTGAAGATGAAAGGGATTCAAGATTTTCCATCTTGAATTTCAATGATGTTACTCCTTTCTGGATGGTTTCCAAGGCCTCTTGAATTGAGTCACTTCTGAGCTCTTCAGAGTGAGGGAATTCTACAAATGTTTTTAGTTTAATTGTAATTTGTTGTACATCAGTTTATGAAAGTTGCAATAGAGGAATATGTATTTATGTTTAATATATCCCTTGAAAATATAAAGCATATTATTGGGTTTACAAAACTGAAATAAATTCTGAACAATACATTTTCGAGGATAATTGAGTATTTGTGGCTTTAAAATTCTTCAAATTATATCTATACTTTAAAACAAACAATGCAAAATATGGCTGCTTTAATACTTCTCTTAAGTGTCATTTTTTGATAGGTTTTTTATATTATTTTAGTATTTGAATGTTAGATGTTGCTGATTGATTATAAATACAGAATTTAAAGAAATATTGAGTGAGAAACGTCTGGCTATATGGGCAATTTTTGGCAATTACTCATAACTTTTAGCTACTTTTATGTAGCCTTGTGTTTTAGAGCACACTTTTATTCAAGTGTTCACATTCACCAATGAAACCAATACAACTAAATACAGCCACTGGATGGGTAATGATAACTTTCTCTACATTGGAAGACTACCTATGTACCAAGAGAAATATAGTAATAAAATATATTTGTACTGTAATGTAATATGTTATCGTTATCACAGATGTCCTCGAAGTTCATACCCATGTTTTACATAGCAAAATACTAAATTTGAAACATTTTTAAAATTACAATCTTACCAGAAGCAGATGTAATCATAATTTGTACATTAACATGATGTAAGGAAATGTAGAGTTGACTTTCAGACTTGCTCAAGACAAGCATGTAGGATTTATCATTTTCTTCAAACGCTGTTACACTTAATATTGAAACATTTTCAGTAATGTAACCACTTGAAAAAATTGTTTCGTAAATTTTCTCCAATTTGACAGAGGTCATTAGGCATATTCTGAGTACGTTCTGAAAACAAAATCTCATGTAAATATCACACAAACAAATTGTGCACTATATAATTAATTGTGAATTACACAACATACAGTATAATCTTGAGCCAAATTTCTTCACAGGGGAAAAAGACATTTGGGTTAAGGATACAAAAGCGTTACCCCAGCGACCATAATTATTGGCTATTCATTTTGTAGTATATTATACTCAAATACATGTTACTTTGGAGGGTGTTGGTTCTGTTAAGCAAGCCTCCCTTGCTACTTCCTGCTTTGTACTCAGTAGAATCCTCCTATTCTCTATTTCCCCTCTATAATCCCTCCAAACTGACTTAACCATCAATCCACCAAAAAAGCAGACCAAGTTTTACGAACAAATACCAGCAATTCCCGAAACCTCAGAAGAAAGATATTCAAAGCTGATGGTTCTGACAATTGATGGTGACTTCTCTTGGGATGATCACATTCACAACCTCACTAATAAGATTTAACAAGGTTTAAGAAACTTTAGGAAGCTTTAAGAAGGTTTATGTTCTATCAAAAATGAAGTGGATAGGAGGGTTGAAAACTACTAAGATAGCATACTATGCTATGGTAGAATCACATATAAGATATGCACTTATATCACAGGAAGGAACTTCTGAAAGGAACGTTAATAAACTCCTGGTTATCTAAAAAGGCCATAAGAGTGGTCTCCAACCTTACCCCTACTAACAGCTGCAGGGAAGCTATTAAATCACAAAAGCTTCTAACAGTTACAACCCTCTACACCAATGCAGCTGTCTTCTACACACATATCCTGTACTTAACCAGAAAAAAGGAATTTCACTCCTATCACACCAGAAGAGCTACCGACTTGAGTCTATCAGTCCATAACACAACACAATTTGGCCAAAAACTCTTCTATGTTCGACAAAAAATCATAAATATACTGCCTAAACAACCTGAAGAATGAAAGGGAAACAAACTGAAGCAAAAACTTGAGGAAAGGTTGGTTTGAGGGCTTGTTTAATCAATGAAAGAGTTTTTGACCAATTGTATCTTAACGTTTACCTTTTTAATGCAAGAAATGCCTATACCGTATTTGTGTGACTTTACTGTATTTCTTGAAGAAATTGTGAATTAAAAGAACTTGAAGTTTCTCTTATCTAGTCTATCCTTCTTCTCTAGCCTCTCCTGCTTTTCCTTCACTGTTTTCTTTATGCGCCCAACAAATCACTTGTTAAGTTAGTGGCCCGAACACTCAGAGTTCTCCGATAGCATCAAGCAGGAATCAGCATAAATGTTCAACTCGGTTTTGTAAAGTTCCCTGTGATTTTAAAATGACAGACGTTTTGAATTAACTCTGATTTTCTTTGGTAGCTGATATAGCAAATTATAGGAGGTGCTACATTGTGTTTCTTGTTGGTTTCAAGACCAGTTATCTGGAGACTTGGCTTTTGCCAGAGAGAATTAGTTTATTCTGAAATTTGTATCAATTAATTCCAATGAAATTAATTAATATTTTCAATTTTTTACAATTTCATTTAATAATGTCTACAGGTCACTCAAAATTACTTACCTTGTGAGTAAATGTCAAGAATGTTGGGTATTTTAGGTTACTGCTCACTGCTACTTGAAAATACTTCTCCATTCCTTCGACAGACAGCCAACGAACAAACTCGCTTCCTGGAACCGGTAAATAAGAGTGAGTTTATTTATTAGTGTGGATGCAATACTACCTGGTGTGGATTATAGTCCTCACGAGTGAGTACTACGACTATCCCCAGTACTATCCTGAAAATTAGACAAATTCGTATATACCAAGGCAAAAATGGGGTTCGGATTCCACTATAAACTGTAGGTCCCTTAGTTGCCATTAGCTGTATGGGCTATTAATTAACAGCTGTCTAAGGAATAAGCCGGTCTTCACACACAAGTCGGTTGTCACTAACAAGACTACAAGATCGCACCACTCATTCTACACTCATCTCCATTCATACTTGGATTAAAATACCTACTTTGTATGGACGCCATTTAATTGAAAAGTAAAGTAAAGTAATAATTTAAAATTAAATCATGTTCACAATATTTATTTGTTTTTCCACTAAAGAACTCACAAATTATAAAATAATTTATTTTTCAAAATAAACCTGCTCAGAGTAGTGTTTGTTCGATTTCTTTCAGCTCCTTTTCTTTAAATTTGACAGTACTGAGATACAGTAGTCTACTGAGAATCTATTGCTAAGTGTGCTGTATACTGTCTATTAATTATATCACCATACTGTGGCAGGCTATTGCTTAGAAAAAATACAATGAAATTCCTTGCTTAGCTCATTGGTTCTGAGACCCAACATGCAGTGCCCATACATTGGGAATTCGTTATAGTCACAGCTATCTTTAAAATGGAAAAGAACAGTTGAGTTGAACCACCAAAAGATTGTGCTACTGTTGAGTACTGTTTCCCGTCTTAAGCACCAGCTTGTTCTACCATACCTAACTGTAGGGACTATTGTTAACCATGTAGCTAGTTGTCTCCTGTTAAGAGGAATTCTAATGAGTGACACTTCCTTTAGTGAAATGTCATTGGATTGAAAAGTTCCAGAGAGCTTCCAATACATTATCAATTAGCTTTTTTCGATCCTAAAACCAAGCTTCATATAATAGTTAATAATTAATCAATAAAAACAAAAATAATTATAACATTAAAGCATTATCGACAGTAAAATTTGTATTTATATCAAGTAAATACTTTCTTCATATTTTAAATACTTTTGCTTCACTCCGTATAAAAAGTAGCTATTTTTATGACAGCTGACACTGAACAGACAGTAGCTATTTTCGATGACAGCCGATACAAATGAAAATAATTTTCCCCAAGCTCTAATTTAGAACAAGGGAAAACAATCATATGATTTCCAATTTCCCCTTGCTCTCGATCAGTGTTTTACATTTGCCCACCACAAGCACTAGTGTTTTGTTTCTTGACCATTTATTTTTATGATCAGCTGTTTTTACTGTTTTGCAATTTAAATGTGAACATAAATTGGCATAACCTTGTTAATGTTTTGTTTTGAGCATAATGTGTGTTAAGATAAACATAACCTTGAACTTTTAAAACTGTATATGTTGTTATGTAACCTATTTACTTTTATTTTCATTGATAAAAACACTAGTTGAGAAATATAATAATACTTTTAAAACTGTTGAGGTTTATTTTTTGGTACGTTAGTATTTTGGTGTCGTGATAAAAGTAGGCTATCGTTCATAACTTGCACCGAAAGGCGTTTACCAGCATTTGCTCCAAATATTTCCATCCTCTGCTTCGTATGTGAAATATGGTGGGTTTTTTTTTTTTTTTTTGCATTGCCTCACACATGAATCTTAAGCTACGGAAAATGTCATTTTCGGTACTTATAATGAAATATAATATATTTGGTAAAATTTCCCTACTATGAAAAGATTTTCACTTTTCAGTATTACCTTCCCACCAGTATATTGAATTCTCATCCCGATCATTCTCCAAAATGAAGATGAAATTCTCTCCTCTTTCCATGAAATGTTTAATAGAGGTAGGTTTGTCTGTAGGCAGATATTGAACTAGAGAAATTTCTCCATTTGGTTTTCTACTCCAAACTTGAGATGGAAACTAAAAAAGAAATCAATTTCAAAACAAAATAATATTAAAATCAACCTATGTCAACACTAAAACACTCCCTTGCATTTTGCTGCCTTCTAAAGTACATATTTGTATTTTACTGTTAACTAATTGTTGTATTTTCATCAGAATGGCTGTAAATATTGAATGTTAGTGGTGGCATAGGCATGCAAACCTTTAACATGCCTACAATGGTTCTGAACTAAACTAAACTTTCAATTAAACCAACCTAGTCCCCTTAGTCATTAGCATCAAAATGCTGGACATAAAATAGGATTACTGCACTAAAACAGACAAACTAAACACACCATAGGTTTTATGTAGATACTGAAAGCCAAGGCCACAGCCACACACCACTACAAGAACAGGACTCAAGTCAAATACGGTTACTTGAAATAGGAATAGACATATATTTTAACCAAAAGCCATTGATGTTGACCATCAAGAACATGGCTATACATGTGGAGACAATTCTAAACTATTCCACAAATACCATACTGAATAATATTGGTTTAATATGAGATATATAGGATCTAAAATGTACAACAAATTATCAGCTGAAATTAAGAAGATTGTTTCCTTCTCTAAATTCAAATTATCCTTGAAACACATTCTTTTGGAGAGGGAATTTTACTCTTTACAAGAACATAGGTCATACTGTAATTAGTATACATTAATAATTATATATTTTTACTATACTATATGACAAATCAACTGTCAAGAAAACTGATGTAATGGGATGAAGTAAACATCTATATATATAATACGCTAAGCCGATTTTTGTAAACAGAACTCCTCCCTCATTTTTGTACCGATTTTGATGATTAAAGTGTCAAAAGAATGGCCCTGATCTGTAGTTTTGCAAAGTGTTTTTATTTTTTTGAAATCTTTATTAGTTCGGGCTGGACCTTCCATCAAAGTTGGGTTTTCTCCCATAAGATTAACATGGGGGAATCTAAATATTTAATTGGAAACTTTGTCTCTACTAATTTAAGAGAACGGCTGGGCGTAGAAGCTTGGTAGAGGTGTCCAAAGAAAGGTCTTGGTCTGTAGATGAGTTATCAAAAGAAAAACGAAGTAAATTCCCTTAGGGCTCTGCCCCAGAAGCCTTTAAAAGATACCTCCACAGATTTGTTTACATTTTGGCCATGTGGATAATACTTTTTAACGAAACAGCTGTTAATTTTTAAATTGTATTTTAAGCAACACACATTTATTGAGAGTTACTGAATTATCCAAAGGAAGTATTTTTGCAATGTTATTTTCTTGAACTCTTAGAGAGCCTTTGAATGTTATTAGGCTAACGAAAAAGGGTTGTGCATGTTTACTAGCGCTACTCCGCAACAAAAACAATAATTTAATTTATCTCTAAAAAAATATTCTTAAAGTGCACTGAGCAGCAGCCTAAAAAATACTATGTAACTTCCTCCTATAGTTACAAAATGCTCAAACTCGCGTTGTGAAATTTATGATTCAGCTTATATTTCTCCAACAGTGTGCTCTTATCGTGTCTAATAACATCCAAACACAAAAACCATGCCTAAGATAATACCTATCTTGACAAATTATTTGCAGTGGCCTATTTGCCTATATTACGGACCGTGGCCCACTGGGTTGGTAACATTATTGAAAGTAAACATGATATTTTGGCTGTAAGAGTAAATACTATTTATATAAGCAGCTACTGTCATGACAGAAAGGTCATATTCCTTTTAAACTAGATCACATTCTCCTTTATAAAATACGTTGATTAACGATGCATGTAAACATCAATATTTATGTAACAGCCAATTTACAGTATGTTTTTCTCTTTGGAAATGGCACATTGCTATTTCATTTGCATTATTTGTTGCCAATGAAGTCACAGGACCATATAAACGAGGAGGCCCCTAACTGTCGATTTCGACGGGTTTCACCTAGTATATATAAATACAGTATGTACTCGACCATGATTGCCTCGATAGCTAAGTCATTATAGCACTGACCTACAAATCTAAAGGAGCCTGGTTCAATTACAAGCACAATCTATTTTACATCCAGGTTCCATTTGAACTTGACTATTACATTATTTAATAATACCATTTAACAACAGGTTGTGTTACACAGAGTAACAAAACCTGGGCTTGGACTGTTTCCTTTAAAAAATACCTTAATAAACCCTTTATATAGAGTTAGAATGGATCTTTCCCTTGTGTCAAATAATGCATTTATTTGTCAAAACAAAGAAGCAACTCACCCTTATTGCATCATTCTCTGGACACCCTAAGACAAACACAATATCTTCCTCATATTTGAACAGTGCTATACAGGTGGCTGTGGGGGTTATATCAGGAATCAACTCCATATCCATGTAAAAATTCTGCCACTGGTAAATCCTGTGAATAAAAGGCTCATTAAATCAGTAAGGGTTCCTTGGATCGTACAATCCATTACTTGGATAACTGAGGTAATTCTAGAGCTAATACATGCAAACAGAATCCGGGCCAGAGATGGAAGGGACGCTTTTATTAGATCAAAATCAATCGGGGCTTCGGCTCCGCACTTCTTGGTGACTCTGAATAAATTTCAGCTGATCGCACGGTCCTCGTACCGGCAACGCTTCTTTCAAATGTCTGACTTATCAACTGTCGATGGTAGATTCTGCGCCTACCATGGTTGTAAAGGGTAACGGGGAATATTTAATAAAAATAAATATCCTTTTATTTTATGTGTTAAAGTGATTCAAGACTATTCAAAAATTAAAATACATTTTCATACCACTGTGACTGATATTAGGCATTAATAAATTAATATAAAGCTCTTGGTTGGATGTGATTCTTTTTGTGTAAATCTGTTTTTGGGGTTTAACTTGTATTTATTTATTTAAATGCTACAATACAGACTGTCACATATGTGTCCAATTAGACTCCAGCATAATATAAATTCAGATAACACATACTTTGTGAGACATAAGTCATAATGTCTTTTTTATCTCATCTTGCAGGCAACAAATTAACACAATACTTTAATAAATAATGTTTCACATAAACAACAATAAAAAAACTAAAGAAAATCTGCTAATTGTATTAAATTGAAAAACAACAAATAAAATTGAATTGAGACATTGACATAGTAAATTTTGTGCCATATATTAAAGATACATACTATTAACTGTAAATAATTCATAGCCTACTAACCTTAACTGAGAACTTATTCTGTTTAATCGTACTGAAACAGAACGTTCATGAAACAGAATGGCGAGGAATAGCTTCTCTTGCTGAACAAAGAACTGAGCATCAGTAGGGTCTCCATTGTCAGAAATGGGTTGGTGGTAAGTGACATCGAAATTGGAAGTTGCAGAGTATAAGTTACAGACGCTGTTTTGAAAGCAGACCAATAGGAACAGCCTGTCATGCCAGTCAAAACCCTGCAAAAATGTTAAAACAAAAAATACTCTTGACAACAAGTTTATTTTATATGGCATCTTCTGCAAAATTACGTGTGACCAAAGCAACATACAAAATGGCTAACACGATGATAACAAATTAAGGATTCTAATCTATTAATCAGTAAGTGGTTGCAGTGTATCTGAACCACAAGGAATATCAGTTTGGCATCACTGTGATTTCTGATTTCATCGTTTTGTCTGTTTTGGGTTAACACTGGTTATGAAAATCATAATCGGTTTGAGAGTCGCCTCATTTGATACCTAGAAGCATCAGTCCACCCTAATAAGAATATCGGTTTGGCATCACTGTGATTTCGGAGTTCAGCCTTCCTTTCTACTGCAACGTTGAGTTGAGTACAAGAGTTAACGTCCTAATGGCCTTTGGCCACTTTTGATTGTCCATCTGTTTACGCTGTGTGATTTTCAGTGTTTCGCATGTCTCTCAACTAGTTTCATAAACTGTTATCTTATCTGCTTATCATTAATCAGCACAGATTGGCAAAAACCAAACATTCACATAAATTAAATTGTATACAGTTTTTGAATAAGCTGCCTGAAGAAGCAAAATTAGTTTCTTACAGTATTTTAAAAAATCAACTGTGTATGACTGGATTGTTAAAAATCCTTTTTAGAAAATTGATGATTATATTTAAGTTGTGAAATAAATATTAGATTTTGAAGATTAAGTTGAAATAAAGCTTTTATTTTCCTGTAAGTAGTTATTTAAATTGAAGATATATTGTACTGTAAACACTGAATCACCATGTATAACAAATGACGTGTCATATTTCTTTTATAAAGATCAATGGAAATAAACATGTCTTATTCTTATTCTTATTAGACTACTCTAGAGTAATAATGACCCCCAAGTAGCAATTATCTAATCTGGTATGTGTATCATCCAACAAGAAGCTCAATCGTATCAGCTTATTTTATAAGCTGCATTCAATATTATTCTATTTGTCGCTCGAGGTGGTTGTGTCTATAGATCCACAACCAAAATAGCATAGACAGATTTTTACTTCAACAAAAAATGACACTGTGCGTAATGTTGAATTTAAGATCAATAGCCTCAGATAAACAAAATGTTTGTACACAAAAATATTTACGCTGTTCAGTCTGTTTTTGACGAGTCTATCAAATTTGCTTCGATCAATGATTGAAAATTGAAATAGGTAGGTAGCAGTGTTCATACACCTATTAAAAGATCACATAAATTGGTAGAGAAACATAATTTAGATATATTTCAGAAAAAGCTACTTTCAAAGGAAAAAACATGTTTGCGCCATCTCCCAGGATCTTTAAGATTATAAGGAAATCAAAAAAAGTTATCTATATTTTTTTTATTTAGTGAGCTTCTCTGGTATTTACTAAGATTCCTTGATATTTTTAAACGGTAAAGATTCTCAAATTGTCTAAATGAATGATCAATTGCGTAATATAATGACTTTATTACCAGTGCTATACAAACATTCTTTGTAGTCAATAGTACAGGTATCATTGTTTAGTTATAGGGTTATTAACAAGTATCAAACACATTTCATAGGGTTCTTATTAAATTGGTCTTATTTGTATTTATGTGCATACACACAGCTTCTTTATGTGCACAGATTTCATGTTTGAACGTTTTTAACCAAGAAACCAAAATTCTGTATGTGCATAAACTTTGAAAAATACTATACTATCATATTTGTTTATCTGGAAACTATTAATTTCCTTAAAAAATATGTAACACCCTATACAATTCAAATTTTTGGAACTAGAACAAAACAAATGTACAACAATACCAAAAGTTTTCAAGATTCTAGCGTGGAAAAAATTGTTGCTACTTGTTTTGATTATGGGTATTATTTGTTACCTACCTTAACAAACTGTACTTTATAATCAGATAGACTCTCCAAAGTTGTTTTGTATTCAAACTTCTCTTCTTGGAAAACCCAGAGTTCCAAATGATCTAACATTATGGTGTGCTTACTCGTTCTGATAATAGTAGGAACATTATTCATTTTTCGCTGAATTGCTAGTGGTTCTGACCATAATGTTGACATATTTATTTTTATATTATTTTGATCTGTGACAGAGAAATACTTATAATTAATAAACAACATAGTTTAAAGTTAGAAATACAACTTGAAATATAAATAAGCTTAAAATTGAGCTGACTCAAAAACTAGCAATAATGTTTAGGTTAAAATTGTTACATTTGATTTTTTACAACTAAAAACACAAATAACACATGTTTATGTCTGCTTAATGTAAGCTTAACTAGGACGGATGGCATCGTCCTGTAATCCAGCTACTAGGAGGTTACGAATTGTGGATATTTATAGGCTTGCACTGTGGATGCAATGATGCAATACTCCCTAGTGTGGATTAACATCCGCACGAGTGAGTACTACGACTATCCCCAGTACTATCCTGAAAATTAGACCAATTCGTATATACCAAGGCAAAAATGTGGTTCGGATTCCACTAAAAACTGTAGGTCCCTTAGTTGCCATTAGCTGTATTGGCTATTAATTAACAGCTGTGTCTAACGAATAAGTCGGCCTTAGTCACTAACACGACTACAAGATCTCGCCACTCATCCTACACTCATCTCATCTCCATTCATACTTGGCTTAAAATACCTACTTTGTATGGTTGCCATTTTATTGAAAAGTATTAAAGTATTAATGTTTGCACTCAACTAAAGACGTATTTATATTTCATAATATAAAATACACATGCTTTTACCTTGTATGATTACCAGACCCTCTCCTACAAATCTTTAAAAACGTTATCCCAGGTATTTCCATCTAAGCCTGCACTTGGGCTAGGTACGGCATCTCCCGAGGTACCGAGGCACCATCGTTATCTTCCATGATTGCAACAAAATCCTGAATATCTTTGTAGGTCACAGAAATATTATCATAGTCCTTTGTGACCGTGGCAAAATCATGAATACTTCCCACAGTCACAAAAATATTATCATCGTCTACTGTGATTGATTGCAACCAAACCCAGAACATCTCCTGCGGTCGTGTAGACTACATCATTGTCTCCCACAATTGGGACTGGATCCCTAATATCTCCGGCAGAAAAAGAGACATTATTATCGTCTGCTTCAATAGCGTCAAATCTTGTATACCTCGCACGGTCACGAAACATTATCATCTTCCACTATCGCAGAAAAATCCTGAATGTCTCCCATGGACATCAATATTGTCTTCCTCGATCGCGACTAAATATTGATCATCTCCCGCAGCCGCGGAGACATCGTCATTGTCAACCGCGGGGGGATATTCTCATCGGCATCCGCTATCACAGCAAAAGCGTGAATCTTTCAATCACGTAAGCGTGATCCTTCTGCAGTCGCAATGTTATCGCGGTCGTAAAACCTCAGCTCCAGCTTGATTTTCTGACTTTTTGCTAGATCTCTCAAGCTTGTAGGCCAGGCTCGGCTCGGCTCGAAAATCGATCTTCTCTATTAATTAAAAATTACACTTTCAAAAGCAAACTGATTTTGAACCGACCTGATTTTGGCCGGAGACACGGAGGTAGAAATATTTTAACTGTCTCGAAGTAAACAAATCTGGTCCACAGCCCCCTAATAGTATTAATGAAAGTGAAAGAATGGAATCATTAATTAGCTAATGTCCTAGCCATCTAGAATTATTCGTCAATTTAATCGTTAAAAAATTGATCGAGTGGTATCAGCATAGAGGGGCCTCTCTGGTGTGATCCACCGGGGCCATATTAATTCTAAATACGGCCCTATAATAGCGCCATCATGCAGGCCACAAGGAGAGTTGATGCAACCAGCATAACTGCAGACAAATTTTTTACTTAGGTTAGTAGAGAATTTCTATTGTCCAGTCAAAGTAGTGTCAGTTTAGCAGTTGAAAACAACTTGTCCTAGTGCTCTTAAGGTTGATTCACACATATCAGTTCAGTCACACTTCCGTTACAGTCCAGTCACAGTTTAGTCTCAGTTGCGTCCGCAATTCCTCAGTCAACTGCCCGTCAGTTGGTTTCAGTCAGTATTCCGTCTAATATTTACAGTGATGTTACAGTCTAAAAAACAATCATTTAAATAACAAAAACACTGTTTTCTAACCTCAAACATGTCCGGCAGGCATCCGAAAAATCCAAAAATATTGGTGGAGAAAATTCTGATAATGACTGACGGACGCTGACAGAGCGACTGACGGACCTGCGCCGGGTGAGTGTAGATTATGCAATAGAAAAATCATTAAAGAATATTTTGGTTGACTGTGACGTGACTGATATGACTGAATTGTGAGGTGCCGTAACTGATATGTGTGAATCAACCTTTACTGATAGTTTTAACAGATTTTTGTCATATTAAGGTATAGTAATGCTCACATCAATATTTTTATGATAGGTGGGCACGGGTTTGGGTCTAAGTAAAATTTCCCGGAAAATCCCAGTCAACGCTTGCAGCCCCCCCCCCCCCCAAACCAGGGGTCCTGCAGGCCCGCTATCGCTACCATACCGCTTGCGCCCCCAACAAACCTAAAACATTTTGCGTCCCTGGGCCCGGGCCCATTTATTAAAGCGGCCCTGGCTAGCTGAATTCTATACCTTTCAGGAAAAAAGTCCTTAATGACCCACATGGTCATTAACCATATATTATATATATGTTTTGGTGTTCTCATAATATAACCTTAGTGGTAAACAAGTAATTTTATTAATTTAGGGTGGAATATGCATTCAGGACATATATTCCTGTTTTGAATAAATCTCGTGTTAAAGAAATAAAAAAATTCAACAAAAACTATTTATCTCTCCTTACCTCGTGAGTTCTGGTAAATAGAATTTGTGAGTTGCTGACGGGTACTTGTGAACTTGTCATTAAAACCTTGTTTCATTGAAGGAATCAGTGCACTCACAGCATAGAACAGTAAGGTGCTTATCCAAATTTCAGTCCAACCCTGTATATATGAGTGATTATTACTAAGTTTACAATCACATGTTCAAATGATAGTTACTTTACAACAGGTTATTCTCAAATGAATAAATAATAACATGATTTTGCAATTAAAATATTTTACAGCTTGTATCGTTTTATCCTACTTCCTACATAACCTTTAATCCTGAGGATAATTGGTTACCAGTTTACAATTTTTACATAAGGACTAAAACAATTTCTTTAGTATGTTTGTGTTAAAAAGTTTTCCATTCATTGACTCAGAAATATGTTTCACCCAATTGTTCCACTCCTCAAGTTTTATTAAATATTTTACTCAGGTTAAGTAGACATTTAAGAGTCTTACTTACTTGTCCTAAAGTACATATAAAACATATGTCTGATATATTTTTTAGAGAAACTATTTCAAAGAATAAAATTTGAAATTGTTTTCAATTTTAATTAAGGTTGGATGGATTTCTTTTAATTCCCAAGCAAAAAGTTTTTTTTCTCTATTTCAAATATATTTTTCCTACATTTACCTGACAAAGTGGGCTTCCTTGAACAGATTTTAGTACAGAAAGCCTTACTTTGGCGCACACCAGTATTCCAACTAAAGAACACAAAACAGCGTGCTTTTATTATGAACGTAATCTGTGTACGCTTGAAAATAAGTTGGAAACACTAAAAGATATTACGACTACAATCAGCTGGTGCAGCATTTCCCATTTTTTTCGTTCAATGTTTGGATTTAACCTAACCTAAAAACGTGTTGTACCCACAGTGTTTTTGAAAGACTAATTATTTATATGATTTATAGTAACTGTAGGAAAAATATAAAGTATAATACGAGTATAATGTATAAACTGCCTTTGCTACACTCGAAAAACTTTCAACACTCGCCCATGGCTCGTGCGTTTGTAAACATTTCTCTCGTGTGCAGCAAAGTGCCAGTTCGCCCACTAGTTACACAAATTGGATACAATAACAGTTATAGCTTATAAGAACATACACATTTACATGTTACAGTTTTTTTTTTTATTTATTCAAATTGTACAGGGGTTTTATTAATATTTACCTGAAGGTTACATTCACCTTCTTTCTATCAACCAAATTTAAGTTTAAAGCTACACAATCATTTGTGTGATTAACAGAATATTATAAAACCAAGATCCCATTTACTGCTTTCAAAGACTAGCCATCAAGCATTGCTTTAATTCATTGGAAAAGTCTCATAACCAAATTACTAAGGGGAAAAATTATATTTTAAAATTTGTTAAACCCCTTATTATCTTGTAAATATAATAACTATATAAGTTTTACTTGAAGTTAATTTGATTGCAAACCTGCATATTTCCTAATATTATTTTAGACATTTGGTTAAAAGGTATACTTACAATGTTCCTCATATTGGATATATGATCAGGTTTAATCAGTTTAGTTCTAAGCGAAGATGATAAGCAGAAAATATATTCTATTATATCTTTGAGAAATAATGTTGATACAACTTTTAATCATAAAGGACTTTTGAACTATGTGAAAGTGGACATTTAATAAACCCTGCATGAAACTGGCCAGACAAGAAAGGACTAACTGTGTCTGACTCACGACAGTCTGATAGATCATACCTGTACATTCCTGCTAACTCAAAGCCTACATAAGATCTAGAAAGTCTAGAACTGGAAAGTGAATGCAACATATACTGTATGAATGAAACAAATAAATTGTTTTTAACCTTAATAAATTATAGTAACTGATTTTTCATTTTTTCTGTGGAGGATTTAAAACCCCTTATTCCCAAACATTAACCAATATTCCAAACTTATATATAATTTATAACCAAATATATATTTTATAATATATGATTAGGCAAATTATTATGGTTTTAATCCCAATAAATAGGACTTTTTAACACTTTTTTGTTTACTGCATTAATAATTTTTGCTAAGAAATATTTTTTTTAAACATCAAAAGAAAATGTTATATGCCTAGTGATTTTGGCAAATAGTATGGAAAAATAAAAAATAAAGTACTGTGTTAACTTAAAGTAGATTGTTATCAAGAACCAGTTTTTCTCTATGAGCTGCAGACAAGCTAAAAACAAAATTATTACAGCAAGTTTTTTACAACAACAAGCAAGTTTTTGCAGCAAGTTATTTATACAATTTTGTAATATTTTGTGATTTTTCAAATAAAAAAACTAGACCAATACGGTACATGTTTTTATGGGACGAATTTGAAAGGCCAAATTAAAGGTTGTGAAAGGTTTCAAATAAATTATGAATTGGTTGAAATTTGTTTATTATGCAAACAAAAACTAACACGAACAAACATAAATTATGTAAACAATTAATTAAACTAATATTTTAACAATTTATTGATATTAGTTTATCAAATTTATTACATTTTCACAATGTATCTTAACCTTATAATACCCCCGATGCAGCGAACCTGCAGACTAAGCAAATTTCAACTTGTCTGATTACATTTTTACTAAAATGTTTCCATATTTATGCATAATTCAAATAACATTAGATTTAACGAGTGCTTAGGTTTGCTGCTATGGGTAAGCTTTTTTTGTCCTAGGACGCTAGGCTCAAGCCTGGGATTGTTTTTCACATTGCTTCAGGCTAGACCTAGGGGATGAGGCATTATCACTTAGATAAAATCAATTGGTGACTTGGTGGGATTTTAACCCGGGACCTCAGGGACTGAAGTCCTGCGCTCTAACCACTGCACCAGCTCGAGATCCTAAACCCTTGCATTAGCGCGCGGGGGACAGGTAGAGCGCACCCTTAAATAAATAAATTTGTCAAATTTGATCAACATATATCCATAAACAAGTAAACTACAACAGTTTTCATTTTCTCCGTAATAATAACATGGGAATTTTAAATTTAATTTTTTTTTTCTCTGTAACCATTAGGCATACAAAAGCGCTTAAATAATTAAATATTTTTTAAGCTCTACAAGATTGATTAGAAAGAAATTGCAAAATTTTTTGTTTTTAGGGTAAAAAATTGAAAAACCCCCTTTTTACCCCGTAAAACCCCCCATAAACCCCGTTCCCATGGTCCAATTATGCTGGTTTGCAAACTCGTTCGAGTAAATGTAGGTTTACACGTTTATACCAAATTACATCAAAATCAGATCATTTTTGCTCGAGTTATCATGCTACACGTATATCAATTTCAACGGATGATATTTTAGCCTCAAAACCAAAAACTAAATCGGTCCCGGGTCCAGGTCTTACCATGAGACCTACGGTAATAGCTTATTCCCTATATGGGAAATTTGCTAAAAACTAGTTAAAATAAATTAACAAAACTAGCCCAAAATAAATAATAAATTAAATGTTTTGTACATAAGAGACACTTTACAATATATTACTTTGACTTCTGGTTCCCTTCCAAATAGAAAATTAAAATCTTGAAATTTATCACATCAACAAAAATACAACCAAAGGAAAGAAATGTATCTTAGAATATGTAATTATCCGTAACAGTTTACAATGCCAGATTCCTATGTATTACACAATAATTTACGACTTAAAATTACGCACACATCTTTGTGTTTATTCCAATATATTCAAGATTTATGATGTCAATTTTTTCCACACAATTATAAAATCAATTAATACAAATATTAATACAATTTTTCAAAGTACGAGTGAAAACAAATAATAAATAACCTAATAATAAACAATATGTGACCATCAATATGTATTACACAACCAAAACTCAGTGAAATTATAAATGTAACTAAGATATCATTTTATCCTATAATTGCAGGTAATCTCAATGGGAATCACATTATTAAAAGTTGGAATATTTACAAAATATACAACTAGTTTTAGTAACTACATAGGTTTGAAGATCTGAATAACTATTTTAGCTTGAAACTAAGTAGCCTCCTAGATTAGTCCTTAATGAGAAATCAAGACCATTAGAAATGGTTCATTATTATTCCAGAGTAAAGAAAAAACATTACTCAAATATCAGAATAAATAATTGCTATTAAACATGGTAAAATACAAAAGTTCAGTCTTTGTTGTGTTATTTTTCCATCGGTTATCAGTTTAATGTTATTCAGTTATGTTTCACACTTTGGGGCAACACAACCACAATAATAATGATAGAACAGTATATTATGAAAAAAATATTTATGAGACAAGCTTTATGCATTAGTTAAAAAATACCAAAGCATGAATAAGCAAAGAAAAATGGTGAGCCCATATAGTTTAACTGTCAGCAAATTGGTCAGTAACTATTAAGAAATTGCATTAAAAGAACTTAAAACATATATTATTAACATCAAATATACACAATTGACTATTCATCCTCTTACTGTTATTGACAATTTCACAACAGGGACTGAGAGCTGCAAAACTGAAATTTTCCTTTTTACCCATTTATTATAGAGGGGAGGACTAGTTTTTAATTACTAGGAGTTCAATGCTTGCATCATTGAAGCTATCATCTGTTGTCAATTGTTTTTAGATGTTATTGTTGTGAGCAATTTGTTAGACTATGTTACTCGTGCTAGATCAATCACACATTTCCGCCATTCTGAGAAGTAAAGGTGTTTTAATTTGACCAGAGATATAATATCTCAGCCCGCAGTAGCATAACTAACAAAGGACTGTCCCCGCTTCAATAAATTCTGGGACAGAAGATCGAATAGTCAGGAGGTTGGCAGGGGGAAGTAGATTTCAACCATGAGTGGGTGTATCTGGGGAGAGGGAAAGCAGAGATCTATGATAGGTTATTGGGTGATTCAGATAGAGGTTTACTGAATCCTGTTGTTAGATAACACTTACTATAAAATGAGAATTTTACTTTGACAAACGCTCCTAACCAAGCTCAGGCTTTGAAATAACTCAATTACACTCCATTCAGCATATCACTCCTTGTGCAACAACTTACCAACTAATGACACTGCCATTAATGAAAAAAAGAGTGGTATAATCCTGCTGTAGGAGCGGTTCAAGCGAAATGCAAAGTTGGCAGTGGAGATAACCTTGCTTGCATAAACTGCCCAGCTAAAGACAAAATTTGTAATGTTTGTGGGAAAACAAGCCACTTTAAACAAGTTTTCTAGTCTCAATCAGAGAAAACTACTTCTGCTATTTAAATTATATGCGTATAATTACTCGTCCCATCTCACATCAATCCAAAGTGAACACATTCGTCACAACTAATGGTTTCAAGGTTAGCGGTACGATTGATTCTGGAAGCGACTCAAGCATGATTGATGATGCTGTAGCCCAACTGGATTCAGGCAGTGGAGGACAGGTTACAAGTAAAGTGGTGCCTTGGGATTACATTTCAAAATCAAAGTGGAAGTTTTGTTAGAATAAGCAGCCTTTTAAGAGATTTAATTGTTAATCCAAAAGAAAAGGTGATTTCTATATAAAGCACCTTAGGAATGACCTTTTAAGTACTTTTGACCTTTATTGCTACAATTGAAGGTAACATTTTGTATGAGATTATAATAATGGCGTTACAACAGGGACTATAATCCATGTTCCTAAATCTTCACTGCACTGTTTTTTTTTTGTTAATTTTTTGCATTATGATTATTTTTTCCAAATATTTTTTATTCTATAGTTCTAAATACGAGTAAAAAATAGGCTGTATGTTTGGTAGACCGGAAATTCTTTATACATTTACAAATTGACAAATAAAACTTGTCTTTTAGATTAAGGAAGTCTACTGTTGAGAAATACTGAAGGGTTGTGTTGTACAAACTTTGGTTCAGAGGACAACTGCTTTTTCTCATTAGCTCTTAAAAAATGAGGTTAACATATCTGAGGAAGGGGAAAGAGATCCGATGAGGTATTCTGATACGGTGACGTAGAGAGCGACACATAATCCCACCCCACTGGCTAATGTGGGGTTGTTCTGGAAAATTATGCAAGTGGCTACAGTAAGCCCGAGGTAGGTCAGGTATCTGGTCATGTTGGAGTATACATCTTGGCCCTTGGAATCTGTAAAGAAATAAAACAGTGAGCAACTTTCATTGTAAATTAATTGAGCGGAGCGAGCGAAGCTCTTTGGGATCAACTTCAATGCAAACAATATAACACCATCACTCAATAACGGCTGAACACATTTCAGCCAAACTTAACAAGACTGCTTAGACTAATAATGAGATGGTTTGTAAGCAAACACATTTCAATTAGATAATGCTAATGCAATTTAGGCTTATGGGACTAAAGTAGCTATGACAGTTTTTTTGTTTACAAGAAAAATGTAAACAAGAGAATCATAAGGTATTTCTGAACTTTCTATACTTTTCTTTTAAACGATTTTAAACCATTCCTATGATTTTAATAAACAAGAAAATGCCGTTAAAACATTTTTTTAAGGCACGGAATTCACTGAAAATCGAGAAAATATACGGAACTACTTTCTCAATGCGCGGAGCATAAACAAGGAGCGGAGGGATACGGACCGGTGACTACTTTCTTGGGAACCTATTTGTGTTGCCAGCTGATTAGAAACAGCCAATGTTAGAAATCAGGATTTAATAAGCGATATATCGAACCGCATCGAAATCGGTATTTAATCCGATAATACCTCATAGGTTATATTATGTTGAATTACATCGATGGTACAGTAAGTTATTACACTTATTGATAAAACGCAGATTGAACACTGGTTTAGGCATGTGGGGAGGTAGGTCGGGGTTTATGAGTATTCGTGACTACATTAAGTGTTTTGAAGTAAGGTTAGATTAGGAAGGTATAGTGTAGGTTATAGGTAGGCGATCGGGTTGTTTATTTGTGTTGCACCATGTAATTTTTATCTTTTGGAATGGAATAGTTGGTTAAGGTTAAACGGGGAAACGATTTCAAAAATGCTTGCATATGGTCTTAACTTAACAAACCATCTACAGTACTCTAGCTTTGACTTTGTATAAAGTCAATGATTCTAGCAAATTATTACATACTGACCAAAAGAAAAGAGAACATTTGGATTTGTACCTTTGACCATAGCAAAACTAACATATAATTATGGAATGTGAAAAGTTGTATATCATTATATACTATTCTGTAATATTAATAATTGTTCGGCAAATCCTCATTTTAATGGCTCGGCTGAAAATGGAATCTGCATTTTGTGAAACAGTAATTTGGTAACAATTCAGTCATTTCAAATGTTGATAACAGTAGCCTATCCTATATAAATACTGTTATTTGATTACCAAGCCACGGACTATACCAACTATACATACGTCCAGTTACAACCGTTGATAAGTAAACCTGGGCTTATAGAAGTACACTTTTAACCACGGTATGGATAATTGTCTAGGCCTGTCCAGAAGTAGGCTACTAATTTCTAATCATATTATCTACATTGTATATTTAAGGCATGTCTTCCCTTCTTATTATTATTCTGTTTTCACTTAAATCAGCTGAATGCGATGTTTATTTATTACTTATGTTTATGCCTACATTTCAGCCATCTTATTTTATTGTTCAATAAGTAAGACTTTTTGCAGTTTTTACGTTTTTTAACATTGAAATACATGACTGATAATTCAGTTTATTTTAGTCTTTTAAAGGCGTTTTACATTTGAGTCTTACATTAAAATAGCCCTACATTTTTAGTAGGCCTATGTTTTATCTTTGACTATCAAATATCAATACAACTAGACATTCCATCCTCATGTTGAATTTGTAGCCAGCATTTTCATCAAAATCTACTGTATTCAATGGTCAATGGTATTATTAAGGCCAGTATTAAAATGCCGCTAAATTGTCCTAATAATGGCAGAAGACCTACATTCCAGTTACATTACAATCATATCCTCCATCAAGAATACTTGGTATTAACAATCATAAATTATTTCCAGCAAAGAAAGCTGAGTTTAACCTATGTTTATGCTGCACAGTTGAATTTAAATGTCACATTTCCTCTCCTGTTGTTATACAATACTCGTTTTTTAATAGGTACTGTTTTTTTATACTTAAATACTTTAACCAATTGTAAGGGTGAAAAATGAAGTCCAATGTTTTTGTTGTAGGCTACAGTTGAATTTGAATGTTAAATTTCCTTTCTCTTTTTTATACTTTAATGCCTTTTTTGGATGTTAATATCAGATTCCAACTACTGTAATATTTTCCTGGTCAAAACTACCATAATGCACTTCTCGAAGAGGTAAATTTGAATTATTATAATTTTAATCTTTAAAACCAGCATTAGTAAATAAATCTATTGACCTTTTTACATTTAGTTACTTATACAAATATACGTTTGTTCCGCTCAACTGGCTTTCACCTCTCTGAAAGCAACCCTAGTTTACAAATGTATGGTAAAAAAGCAAACAAGGTACACAGCTTGCATGGGACAAGGTACATTTTGCATGGTAAGTAATAAGTGGTTAACAACTGGCATGTTAATTGTAAAGAGTCATTACTAGTCTCGTAGATAGAAAAACTTATGCAACCAATGTTACTTTTGTACTTAAAAGATCAAATTCTGCAGTTAGAGCTTTCAAGAATTTATTCTCTAAATGAAACTTAGTTAAATCATTCATTGACATCTTTGGTGGAAATTATAGTAGCCTACTGTTAGATTTTTTTTATTTTAGTTCTAATAGTGTTAGGTTTTGAACACCTTCTTTTAAGATGTATTTATCACCTAGCCAATTCAAAACCTTCAGTACGTAGGTTGGAAATTTAAATTTTTACTTCAAATTGTCTTCAAAACAAACAACAATACAGTAGAACCCCTCATATCCGACCTCGGAATAATGGACTCCTCAGGAATTTCGACCATCTACTTTCCGTCTGGGGTAATAAAGTCAGGCGCATTCGGTTAACCTAATGGCCGATCACGGGTATTGCCGTAATCGACAGATCACAGATCACCTCTATCGCAGAGACTGCAAGATTTGCTCACAGGTGTTGTTGCGGAGACAATTACCAGTGTCGTGGAGACCGCAAGCTATACCCCTCCAGATATCTGATCTTTCGGCCGCTCATGGTCGGAAATGAGGGGTTTTACTGTATTCTGGTTAGGTAAGCCAGCTATTAATGGTCACAGTGTTTGCTTTCTAGTTTAAAGCTGGTTGGTTTGCATAATGGAAGTGAGATATAACATGAAGCATGCAATAACATAATCTCAAACCTTTCTTCCATCACCCTGCATTCACACTTGCATTAACCCAATTTGTCTTAAATTAAATAGTTATATAAAGACCACATTACCTTTAAGGAAATTGAACAGTATAAATATATTTATTTTATAATCCTCAGATTGTCCATAAAATATGTATTCTTTTTCAGGAATCAATTGTGGATCCATTTGAATTACTTGAACGGCCTCAATCCCTCCAGATGGGTCGGATATAATTTGCTTACAGCTTGGGTATTTATCAACTTTACAATGGTAAAGAAAAAATTCTGTTTACTGTCAATTCTGTCTAGCTGATCACAGTGTACACCCGGGAGGGTATAGGCTTGGCTTAACCATTTTAGCAAAATTCCCATATAATAGGAAAATACCACCCGCTGCAGCAAACCTACAAATTAACGAATTTTTTTTTTTTTTTTTCATTTGATTTTCACTTAAATCTATTTTAATAACATTAGGATTAATAAGTACCTAAGATTGCTGCTACAGGGACGGTAATGAAGTGTGTTTTTTTAGTAAAATATTAGTAGATTACTATAAAATTAATAAATTTGCCAAGTTTGGTCAAAATATATGCATAAACAAGCAAACTACAACAGTTTACTTATTCTCCATAGGAATAACATGGGAATTTAAGTTTACAGCTTTTTGAATTTTCTCTATAACCAATAACCGCACAAAAACAGTTCAGTTTACTAAATTAAGGTATTTGTTTTTCTAAGCTCTTCATAATATTTTAGAGAGAAATTAGAAAATTTTATGTTTAGAGGGTTTAAAATGGGAAATACCAATTTGGGTTATTTTGGAGGCAACTCAAAAATTTTAAATGTGGTACCATCAAGTAACACCTCATTTTGAAGGCTATTGGTTTAAAAGAATTGGTTTAAACGAGACCTCTGGTTTTCGCCAATATTCTTTTAAACTGACGGCCATCAAAATGAGGTGTCACTTGATGGAGCTTTATATTTTAAAATTTTGAGCTGCCCCAAAATACGCCATTTTGGGGACTCAAGCAAAATTGTCATAGCGACCAAAAAGTAGTTTTTAGTTTCTTGGTACAGTAATACTGAGTTTAGTTTTCCTGGTACAACACATAAAAACGTTAATATTGATATTGATGTATATTTTTACATCGGATCTCACAGGCTGATGAAAAATAAAAACGGCCGCCATTCTGTAATGGGTTGAGATAGAGACCTCTAGTTTTTGTAGATATTCTTTTTAACTAATGGCCTTTAAAATGAGGTGTCACTTGATAAGGCTTTACATTTAAAACTTTTGAGTTACCCTCAAAACAGCCCATTTTGGGTTTTTGGACAAAATTGGGATACCAACAAAAATGTGTACTTTTGCATATAGAGATTTGCAGAGTTGGTTTTCCTGGTGGAACCCGTTAAAAGGTTAATAAGGGGTGTCCATTCTTTTGCCATATATATCCTCTACTTATATATAGTTGAAGACGTTTTTAATAATACTTGACACTTTCTACAGTCCAGCATAGCACAGAAAAACTTACTTAAAGGTTTTTGAATTTTTATCCAAAATCACTGATTCAAACCTTCAATGCAGATTAAGGGCTTATAAAGATGCTTTATCTCAATGATTCTGTACTATTATTGTTATCTACTTATATATAATTCAGTTTTAAAATTTTTCGTACAACTAAATCTAGAGTTCTATGGGACTGATTTTATTAACTAATGGATCGTTGGAAAGCTTAATTCGTGCAGATTTGCAAATAATTATGAAAGTTTGTTTTTGTTACGATTTATGATGAAAAATGTTTAAAAAACATGTTTTCCATAAAAATACAATGAAAACGGAGTTTTCCACATTTTTTATTTGG